TGACGTATGTGGTGGGAGAAGTAAGAGATATATGTTGTTATTAAAGCATTCTAACATAAATGCTGTAGTTTCATGGCTTCCGTGTCCGTCCAAAATGAGGAGTCTTGAATTTTCCGGCTGAATAGGGGTAGTTTGAGGGATATAGATCTTTTTCAGCCATTCTAAAGCTGTAGCATCTGTAGTCCATCCATTTTCTGTAGCGGTAAAGTTCCAACCCTTGAATAGAGTCAAATCTGTTGGAAACCATTGTTGTTGAACTGATTTTCCCTTATATATTACAAGGGGAGTAATGCTTTTTCCATTGGCTGAAATGCATTCTATAAAAGAGGTCCAAATTCGAGATCCAGGTTGCTTTTTTTGAATAAATCTTCGATCAGTGCTTCCTACTACTAGTCCATTAAGACCCTGACCCTCCATTATACCTGCTTCATCCATATTCCATCTGTTGGCCGGCTTAATAGCCTTGATTTCAGGGATTGCGAGGTTCCGGAACCACTTCTTAATAATATCAGATGTAGCACCTGAAACTCGTGCAGAATCGATTTGATGTTGCTTCTTAGTTCCAATATTAGGATGCCTTCGAAAAAAGCTATGTATCCATTTCTTTCCAAGTGAGGGATCCTCCCCTCGTACAATAAGGAGGTGCTCTGCCATCTCTCTGATTTGACGATGTGTAGGGCTAGTACCAAGAGCTTCCTGTACTAATATCCATTCTGCTAGTCGATTCTCCTGAATTGGAGATAACTTTTGAAGTATTTGGGCGCCTTTTTGATGCGAAACTCCACCATATATTCGATCGTGAAGTGTGGTACGTGGAACACCATAATCCAAGCTAGCTCTTCGTATGCTTGCTCCATTTATAATCGCTCTAAGAGCCTCTGCGATATCTTCTTCGGTATATCTATTCTTCATATCACAATTATAATAATATCAAAATTTCAAATCAATTGATTAAAGCATTGTTGAGTTATTCAAAGTATAAATTTTATAATTACTCAAAGCGGTGTGGTTTTTGAGGTGGTCGAAAAGAGGGGGTGGTCGGAAAGTGGGGTAGTTGACTTAATGATTGTTCTTGAGCACGAAGCTCTACATTGTAATGAAATCTGTTCTCTTATATAGACCTTCCTGCTCTGCAGAACCTACAGTTCTGTCTTGTCTGGATCCTCTGGATCCTATAAATCTAGATGTTTATTCTTCGATCCCCTAGATCCTCTAGGTCCATTACGTGACTTCCTGACCATGTGACGCGGTATGTTGGATGCCGTCGTAACATTACCTTAACCTTGTCTTTGCTTATCTTAAGTCTTTAACTTGATATAATGAATCCTAAGAATTCTGTTTCCTTGATATAGAATTTACATTTGCTTGATTTACACAGTAAATCGACTTTGATTAGACTTTTAAGAATATTATTAACATCTTTGATATATTGAACCTCATTGTTTGAATATACTAGAATATCGTTCAAGTAGTATATACAACAAGTATTCAAGTATTATAATATTATATTATTTATAAGTCTTATGAAAATAATTAGTACATTAGTTAGCTCGAATAATATAACTTGATATTTGTATAGCCTATATCTTATCTTAAAAGTAGTTTTCCATTCCTTACCTTTCTTCATTTTAATTAAGTGGTACCCATTTTATAGATCTATTTTAATAAATATTATTATTCCGCCTAATCAATCTTTTAATTCCGTAGCTAATGAAAATGAATATCGATCTTTCTTTGTAAGTGCATTGAGCTTCCTGTAGTCTACAACTAGTCTCTTAGTATTGTCTTTCTTAGGTACCCATATAGTTGGACTTGCCACTTGGAACGTGGATTCCCTGATCCATCCCTTAGCCAAATTGTTGTCGATATATTCCCTAAATGTTTTCAACTCATCGGCTGATATTGAATAAATTAGGGTGTACACAGACATCTTGCCTTCCTTTAATATTACCTCATAATCCTATAGCTTGTATTCTAATAAAATCTTATAGAACCCTAATTCTTTAAAAACATATTTATATTTCTTGTATTGTTCTGATATTATAAATTCCTTTATCTTGATTACAATTTCGTACTATATCATTAGCTTTTATATTTGTAAAGAAAATATATTATCCTTTACTTTTAATGGAGGACCCTGAATTAAGTGTCCTATATTATTGGTATTGTTTGTATTCAACTCTTCTTAATATATATTATATCTTATAAATACCTTAAACATATCATCATAATTGTTCTTATATTAATTAAATATTATTGTTTTTTATAACCAATCTATTCTAGAATTGTATACCTTCAACTATAATATCCTTAAGATAATCTATTATTAGCCCAATAGTATAACATCAAGTTATATAACCTTTGAGTATTAGATTATACTCATTCATACTAATCATATCTCTTAAGAAACGTTTTTGTCAAATTCTGCTAACTATTCATCAACTAATTGCAATTAGTAGGGGTTTTGTTTCTTCTAGAATGAGACTCTCAAGTACTTTGTAGCTTTTAATATAATAAAATTTCCTATAGCCCTTAAATCTATTATAGCTTATTATATTTGTTCGTTTATTTTGACTTTATAGTATATTTGTTCTGCTTATTCTGTAGCATTCAGTTATAGTATAATTTACTTACTCTTACTATTCTGAATGATTTTATCAATAAATGTTATATATTAAAGCTCTTCCTTTTCTAGATAGACAGTGTTTATTTCTGATCTAGCTTTATTATCAAGTAAGTCCTTCTATAGGGTGTATCAGTAATTCCTTTGAATGATTTTTATTATCGTATTCACAACTAGTGGTGATATTATGGCCTGAGTCTGAACTCGGTATTCTTCTTTTACTCTTTTATATAAAGATAGAACCTGATTCTCATTTCTTTCAGATATATAGTAATAAAATACTTCCTATAGCTCTCCTTTGTTTAACTACTAAAGGTAATCGATATTAATTCTTTCTACAAATGATGTGTTCGTAATGATTTCAAACCATAGAATTCAATACTAATCGACATACCGAACCTCATACGATTCGCCCTCCTCAGCGCCTGTTATACTAAAATCCTTGTTCATAATCCCTTCGTTTGTATCTCCAAATTTCCAAATACAACGATTCTATTAATTAATTCCCTGAATAAATTATAATTCTCCTAACTATAGATTTCGGTTTACTCATAAGAGGTATTCGACCTTTTCTTTTTTTTCGAGCTCTTCTTTGTAAGCTAGTGATGGCGTGGCTAACCTTATTACACTAATAGTATATAATTATAGTGTAAAGGTAGCATTAAATTGGCCCTTATCAAATTTATTCTTAAAGTTGCCCTTCTTACCCCCTGTTTTCTTACTTCAATATTCTGCTATCTGATACCCTGTTTTTCTATATTCAAAGTATAAATTGTTGTTTTGTTTTTATTTCTTTTCCTAATCATTATTCTTATTTGTGTAATATATAGTGTCTAACTTTATAAAATCTTTGTATTTTTGTGAATTATAATATAATCTATCTTTGTTCTTATAATAATACCCTTGCTTTTGATTCTCCTAGGGTTTGTATAATCTTTAACCTTATTAATATCAATAAAAACAATCATCTAATTCGATAAAGTTCTGAATTAGGTTGTTTAAGTCTATACTCTCAATAGATCTTTCTAACTCCAGTCTGACTTCTGGCTTGAGTCCTTTACAATAATAACTTATAATAACAATTTCATCCTACTTAATTGTTCCTACATATCTTCGAAATTCTATAGCATACTTTAATACTAATCCTATCTACTTGAGATTGAAGATCTTATCTTCCATTACCTCTAGCTTATTAAAGTTCCCAAAGATTCTACGAATCTTTGTTTTAAATCCTTTAAAACTATTGAAGATTGTTTAAGTAGGTTGCATACAATCCTGATCGTCATACTCGAAATAATTGTGTAGGTATAGCTGAATCCATTTATCTGTTTTGTTTTTAAGGTATAATATAGCCCAAATACTTTTAGATTCCTTTTCGGTGAACTTATCTTAATTGAATCTAAAATAGATTTCGAATTGTAATAAAAAGGTGTCAAGTTCTTGTCAACTTCCTTAGTATTTATCTGGTAAGGCAATCTTGAGTGTTTCGTTAATGGTAATTTCCTTGGGAGTGTTGATCATCTCAACATCGTTGATGTCGGATGCTTATGCCTGACTGCTCGTGGATGTATTAGTGAGTGCCATATCGTCGGTTAGTATTGAATTAGTATTTGAAGCAGAAATGATGCTCAAAGTATTACAGGAGTTGCCTCTAGGGTTATATAGAAGTGTTTAGAAATCTCTCAAGATGATGTAAACTAAACTTCAAATAGAAATTTAATAAAGTTAATAACTAATTGCAATTCTTATAATTATAATAATGAAACTAATAATTGTTCTTAAGCACAAAGCTCTATATTATAATAAAATCCATTCTCTTATATAGACCTTCATTCTTTATTGTCCTATTACTTCCTACTATATCCCATTAGACCTTACTTAATGAGACTTAGTGGGACACCTTGATCAAGTGATATTTAATTAATCTAGTCATGTAACGACCTCAGTCGTAACATTAAGGCGTATAAGAACATATAAACAAAATTTAGATCATACCACTACACACAAGAACTACCCGACAAAATTTACACTTCTGAGGCCGATGCTATCTCAACTCATGTTTATGGACGTTTAGCTCCTTCTTACTGCGCAACCAGCCATGTAGATTGAGTGGAATAGTTTAGAATGCTGTGTGCTACCCCATGTGTTGAGAAATTACTGTGGGACTGCTCCTTGGGAGAATCTAGTTCCTCCTCCTTGAATCACTAAATTGAATTAGCCAAGGAGTTTATTTTACCACTGTGATTCCGGCACTAATTCACCTGGAATCTCTCTCTAGCAGCCCCACTCCGGCTATCTCTATCTAGCGATCTTAGCTACACGTCTATCTATTTTCAGTGAAACTCTTCCACACATCCGACTGCTCAGGCTCCTGACAATGTCAACAACGATCCCAACTCCGCTTTACTCGGGCATCGATGTCGATGAGAATTTAGGCTCTTGTATCAACACCGTATGCGGGGCCATGATAGGACTGTCCTTTGTTACACTGTGTCTTCGTTTCTTCTCCAGATGGTGGACCAGAGTCGACTTTGGCAAAGATGGTTGTTTCATGGTTATTATTGCTGTGCGTATTCTATTGTTCTACAATCGATTTGACACTGACGGAACAAACAGGTGTTTGCGTGGGCCTTTTCAATATTTTGCATCGTCCAGGTTCAACAGAACTTTTACGGTCAGCATGTCGGGAATCAGACATTCGACACATCAAGGATTTCATGAAAGTGCTTTACGTTTTAACAATCCTGAACCTCCCATCGATGACTCTAAGCAGGCTCTCTCTGCTCACTTTGTACTGGAGAGTATTTGCAAATAGTAAAGGAAAATGACCAATCATCATAGCAAGCGGCCTGAATTTTCTGTGGATGATAATTGTGGTAAGTCTATGATAGATGTTTCAATCTGTCTTTTCTAAGCTAATCTAACATATAGACAAGCATCGCAATATTCAGTTGCAATCCAATTCATGGATTCTGGGACATTGATATCAAAAGCAAATGTATTAGTCCTACCAATATACTCATTTCTACCGAAGTGTTTACAATTGGACTGGACCTCATTGTTCTCGTAATGCCAGTATATTTCGGACAATCTATCAAGCGATTTTTGTCCCAAAGAATCTCAACCAGTAGCACATTTCTTATCGGCATAATGTAAGTTCTTGATCTATCAAATCCCTCTGTCACGAAGCTAAAAGATGTTCAGTGTGACCATAGTGTCTTGTGTACGATTGTGGAGGCTCATTCGTGGTTTGGCCCTCCCTGGATTTGATCCCACTTATATGTTTCCTGTGGACTTTTCTGCAAGTGACTCTGAGATCTAATTCTATGTAGTCGACCAAGTAGATACTTGTGTTTGGGGGTCTGCGAAACTTAACGTCTGGGTTCTTGTCGCTTCAGTTTCAGCTTTGCGACCTCTGTTTACAAAGTTATTCACAAAGAAGCAAACTAGTATTTCTGGTGTCTCTCGAACTTATGTGAACAGTACCTCACATGGAATGAAAGCAAGGTTTAGACTGCCTAAGAGTAGCACGCCATTTTCTTTAAGTCATGAAGACCCAACCGACGATTTTGATTATCTTGTAAATCCCCAAAAGGGTGGAAACGGTGCAGCCCCTGCTATCAGTACATATGAGCTGAGTAACATCAGAGATACCAAGCAAGGTATTATTCTAGTTGATCGGGAGGTAGATATCTCTGTACAGAATTAATTCCGCTAGCTATCGTGATTAAGATGAGAGAGTTGGCAGAAAGCTGGATAGGGTGGAATAAGGTCACTAGAAGCTAAGTCTGGGAAAATGCTGGCGCTAATGTGGATATGTATGAATTACAATAGTTTAATTTTGCAATAATAATGTCACTGTCCTTACAACTACTACATTTCTTCGGATTCTCATAAGCTAATTTTTGCGGGGAGAGATACCTCGGTTATTGAAGTAATTGGATTAGAGTGAAATACTTGATTTATTAGCCATAATGATTTGAAAGATCATGTTCTAGCTTATGAACAGATTCTTTTGAATTGCAAGAGAACAAATATTTAGACCTTGTAGTCTATATTCGTAGAATCAAAAGCCTGATCTTATGAACTCTAAGATCTAATTATCGATCTCAATTATACGATATTATTTGATATATGTGATTATGTTCCAAACTTAACAAGAAATAGATTTTTCAACAATAAGATATTATCATCTGATTAATGTGTAGACGTTTATTGTTTTGATCATAGTAAATAGCTTCTATTCACCTAGCTACTGTATTGCAAGCCCTAAGCAAAAGCGAAAGAGACTAGCCCTTTCGGTAGCGCCTATATTATAAGGCCTACAATTTCTTGTACATAGCTAGCTCTTTAGACAGGGTATAATATAGACATTTAGAACCTACGAATGTGTGGGTGCTACGTCTTCTGTATCCTTCTCAAACAAACAGCTACAATCTCAATGCTGAGAATTCCTAGGATAGTTTTGTGATCCAACCACCCTAGTCCTTGGACTTTCGCTCCTAACCAAGTATCCTACGTTTGGGATAGCAATGGGTTTATCAGAAGGCTCTAGGCTAGTCGCGGTGATTTGGACAGGGGATATCGTCTCAGACATCGAATCTAAAATTGAGTCTTTGATAAAGGCCACAAAGGTTAAAATAGCGCGATTTTCATATAGCACATAATTAGTGAACTCGATCCGACCGAAGAGGGGATATAGTAGAATTCTACTTGTTACTTTCTGCTAGATCCGCGTGTCAATTACACTTGTCTGTGACCTCGAAATTCATTCCAATTTTAAAGCAGCAGCTTCAAACTCCAAACAAAATACAGAAAGATCGAAACAACATCGCCGAACTCCTTCGATCAGCATATGAATTCAATGTTGAGAATTCTCTTGGCTTGTCTTGCTTGGATGGAAAACCCATTCTCATCACTGGAGGAGCTTCTGGATTTGGCGAAGGGTTCTTTAGGAAATGGGCAGAGAATAGTATACCAAGTTTGCAAAGAATTTAATACTGTGCCTTTTCTAACGTTTTACAGGTGCGAACATGATAATATGAGATGTCAACACAATCAGAGGGAAAGCTTTAGTTGAAGAAGTCTGAGCATAGAGTAACAACCAGAATCTACATTTTATATGTTGTGATGTCACAAAATGACAATTGCAAGTTGACTCTTTTCGAGACGCAGCAAAATTGAATTCTTATGGAGCGATTGACGCTGTGATTGTCGATGCGGGAATTGCTTTAGACAATCCTGTTTTTGATATTCTGGCTTATCAATTGGGAGTACTTAGCGAGTCGCTTTCGATCGATCTCAAAATTGTCGAGGCCAACTTAATAGGGGCAATGAATACTGTGCATCTTGCGTTCCACTATTTTCCTCTGAATCCACAGCAAACATGCCCCCCCCGCATACTTTACCCGGTCAAGATTCCTCCAAGCGAGATCGTCACCTTTTATTGATAGGCTCTGTGGTAGGTACAGCCGCTTTCCCTGAATAAGTTGAATATTGCGCTGCGAAACATGGAGTCACAGGACTATATCGCTTCTTGATGTATACAGCCTTTACAAAAGGAATTCGCATCAATCTAATCATGCCTTACTTTGCCGACACACCAATGCTGTCCACGGTCTTACGAGCAATTCTTGCTAGTTCACCTGTAGGCAAGGTTCATAGCATCGTGGATGCTGACACAAGACTCATGGAAAGCGGCCTGAGTGGAGAAACAAATACACAATGTCAAATGTCGATGGTGCATAAGCTGATATGAAGGGTTGAGGTTGGAATAACCATGCCTAAGATCATCGGTGTCAAAGACTCAATATCGCTATCTTATGGTCTAGCGAGGTCAGCGGAAGCCATCTCGACAGAGATTATTTTGCGCCTCCGAGTCCTTGCACCCTCGTACTCTGTAAATATAAAATTACAAGAGCACGAAAATCATTTCTGTTTGGGTATTGCATTAGCAACTATCTTTTTGCTCTGCACTAATGACGAAGCCGCTGATGCAGGTGTAAACAAAGATTAGCTATGCTGAAAGCAAATAGAGCGGCCCCGATAATGCTGAGACCAAAGCTTGGGATATAGTGGAGTGGGTATATACGATGTCTCAATACTACATTTATATTATTGCGTATTTGACAATGTATCTGAACCACCTGGAGGAGGGGTACACCTCCATGGAACACATGAGACTGAAATTTGGAAGAGGAACCGAAACAACTAATATATCCATTCGCTGCCTACATGACTCATGTGCATGCGACTCTAAGACTTTTGCTCTCATCTAATTAAACCTTTTTAAAAAAACGCCCCGAAATGCTGTCATTCTGAATTGTATTTCAAAAGGCATTATCCAACCCCATCAAATCAAATGTACCAATACTCTATCTATCTATAGACGATCCAACAAACCCGCGCTCTCCAACATCAAGATAATCGAGTGAACAGCATTTCTGACACTAGTCTTCTCGATATCAACGGTGAAGTCGGCCTTGGAAGGAACCTCATAAGGATCATCAACACCAGTGAAACCCTTGATTTCACCGTTACGAGCCTTAGCGTAGACACCCTTCTTGTCGATCTTCTCAGAGTGCTCAAGACTGGTAGCAACGTGAACGAGATAGAAGTCACCATACTTTTCAACCATTTCACGAGCATGCTTACGAGCATCTTCATATGGTGCAATTGGTGCAGCAATAACGGCAGCACCGGAACGAGTCAACTCGGAAGCAACGAATGCAATGCGGCCGATGTTGCGGGTTCGGTCAGCACGGCTGAAGCCAAGCTCGGAGGAAAGCTCGGCGCGAACAGTCTCGCCCAGTAAAAGTGTGACAGAACGTCCACCTTGTTGATTGAGGGTAGTTTGCAAAGCACGTGCAATTGCGTCTTTACCAGAGCTGTGGTAACCAGTAAGGAATACAGTGAAACCTTGAGCAGAACGAGGTGGGTGAGATTCTCTAAGAACACGGACAACTTCTGGGTAGGAGAACCATTCTGGAATCTCACGACCAGAGCGAAGTCTAGCACGGAGCTCAGTCCCGGAGATGTCGAGAGTACGGGTACCTTGTGGGACCTCATCCTTTGGTCTATATTCGTCGCTATCTGGGAGGTAAGTCATCATTTGGAAAGGAACGACCTCAATTCCGAGCTCATCCTTGAACTTCTCAACAGCGTATTGAGCATCATATGGACCATAGAATTCCTCTCCCTTGCTGTTCTTTCCTGGTCCGGCGTGATCACGTCCGACGATGAAGTGTGTAGCACCATAGTTCTTTCTGATAATGGCGTGCCAAACAGCCTCACGAGGTCCACCCATACGCATAGCGAGAGGAAGAAGACCAAGAACGGCCATTCCATTAGGGTATCTAGGAAGAAGTGCCTGGTAAACACGGACACGGGTGAAATGGTCAATGTCACCTGGCTTGGTCAGACCAACGACTGGGTGGATAAGAACGTTGGCTTGACGGGCTCTAGCGGCACGAACAGTCAACTCTCTGTGGGCTCTGTGCATAGGGTTTCTGGTTTGAAATGCGACAACCTTGGACCAGCCGAGCTTGTCGAAGTGGAGTCTCATTTCTGCGGGGGTATCTTTTCTCATATTAGTAGCTTTCTGGATTTTCTAGGAACCAAATCACTCACATCTTAAAGCAACGTAATCGTAGTGTTCTAAACGGTTGATGGCGTCAATCTTTCCTCCAACATAAAATTCAGCTGCAGTGTTGTATAAATATTTAACTGCAGGGTGATCGGCATCACCACCGAAAACCTCCTTAGCTTCCTTCTCCCTATCAATTTGTTAGATCTTTCTCATCCATCTAGGTCGGAATTACACACTTGTTGGGTCTGTAGACATCCTCGACGTTGATAATTGCAAGGTTTCTGTCGTCACGGAAATCGCGAAGAGTAACTCTTACTCCTGCTTTAATTCCTAACTCCTCGATTTGTTCTTGGGATAAATCGAGTGTAATTGGCATACTGAAGACGTTGCCATCTGCCAATCGATTGTTCTCAACGACACTGTCAATTGTTAGGCTAGTAACAGTAAATTCGCAAGCGCAATCTCGTACCCATTGTAATCCTTCTCGGTCATAAAACCTGGTAATGAGGAATTAGCAATTGTTGTAAAATCATAGATAGATTTCAGTTATCATCTCTTGGCAGATAATATTTAGCATGGCGGGGTCATTGTGCCCCTCCATATAAGCGGAAATGACATACCTTCAAGGGGAGAGAAACCACCACTCAGAATCAATTCGAGATCGCAAAGTTGTCTCTCGGTGAGAACAACAGCGGGAAGAGTTTCGGCCTCTGTTGCAAGTTCATTGTGTCGTGACAAATCTCTTGCGAGAAGATCTCTGTTGCGATTGTTAGTCAATTCGCATCCTAATCCCCCAAGACTTCACCAGTCTTATTAATTTCGCATTCTTACTTGAGGACACCACCATGAGGAGAGTTCGCCATCTTTGCGTCTGAAGGTAGTAAAAAGTATGAGTTGATCCAAGCAATATGTGAGAAGAATTGAGGATATTAGAGAGATCTCTGGGAATGTACTATGTATGTATGAAGAGGAAGAGGAAGAGGAAGAGAGAGAGAGAGAGACGGATAGATAGAAGGCAAGAATGCAAGTAACTTAAGTAAGAGTGGGTATAAATAGGTTATAGAGAACCAACAAGGACGATGCTACTTTTATAATGTCCGTATCAAATTATGTGTCTACCAAGAGAATTTTAATATTTTTTTTCTTTACTAAATGCTTCAATATCCTCTCACCCGCCTTGTATGGAACCCGGTTTGGGAAAGGCATGACCTAGAGGAAATGACGTGCTCTCGGTAGCTCTTCACTTACAAAGACGCGTATGTTAATGATAATGACACGTAAGGCTATCAAAGTATCAAACCATAAATAGATCTTTTATATGGGGAAGATGTTTGATGGCTCGAGATAACCGTGATAACCTTTGCACGATGTGGGAAAGAAATGGGATATGGGGGGGGTGAAAGTATAAATGTGGATTAGTACACTTGTACCGGTATACAAGTATGTATATGTAACGAAGGGGGGAAATCATTTGTAAGAATGGCCAAAGAAGATGGAGATGCTAACGATGATATAATAATACACAATACTTAGAGAAAGAGTTTTGAGACCCGGTATGTTCTACTATCTGATTGACATTTCACCGTTATCTTCCAGACAGAAACAGACACAATACCGGTAGGTAACGTTCAAATCAATATTGCTTTGCTTGTATGTCATACATTGAATGTCTACCTACTCTGTACAGTTTGACAGAGATGTTTCAAAGCAATGCTTGTTTAAACCTCATATCATTTTCCATTTTGATTTGATAAACGTTCCCCTCCCCCTTTCCGCGCGGCACCTAAACCATAATTAGATCGCTACTTTGCTTGATAAGGGGGGGTTAGATGATGTAGGCCTGGTCGTTAATCATTCTATTAAAACCAGATGTTTCAGAAATCATGTGGATCTTTTCTCTATGATAATGATATGCAGTCGTCTGATTAGAACTTTTTATAAGGATTTTCTAAAATCTTTTAATATGTAGCAAAAGTATATATACACATGCCACTTCAGATATTACGATCCAGACATTTCATGAAGCAATCTGCAGATTAGATTCACATGAAGCAAAAGGCAAGGGACTTTCAACGTTTGCTTCAGGAAGACTATGGTCCTGCAGAAGAACGTTCAAAAGGAAGAAAAGAAAGGAATGGCTCGAATGGATAAGAAAGGACCAACCTCACGTGATCATAAATTGTCCTCCTTGGGTGTTATCTTATCGTTATCTCCGTGAACACATCCACGGAAATTCGGGTTCGGTATTTGCCGTTCTTTATTTTGATGCTTAGGGAAGTTTGAAGAAGTGACAAACTTTTGAATTTGAAACCTCAAGCTATTTTCTGCCAAACAATTTACTACAACAAGATGTCTGTAGTAGCAGGTTTGAAAGGCGAAGCTTCGCAACAAGCTCGATCGCTGGTAAGTAATCTTAAATGTTACCCTACAAGTGATTGCCACTTTGATGTCACAGAAGCTGTGATGCCATGCCATGAGAGGGAATGTCCGATTGATATACCCATACTTACTCTAACTTATAGTATCGTCAATTATTGAGACAAGGCGGTCAGTTTGCAGCATACAATTTCCGAGAATATGCGAAACGTAGGACAAGGGACTCATTCAGAGAACACAAGGACGTTCAAGATGAGAGGAAGGTCCAGGAATTGATGCAGAAAGGATTGAAGGAATTACAAAGCTTGAAGGTACGCCCAAACGTGTAGCGGCAGAGAACTTCATATGATACTGGAAGGTTTCTTTTGGTATAGAGATCTGAAATGCATGGCGGCTTTTGGAGGAGCATGCAGATATAGAGTTGAGTGGGGATTGAAGATGTACTGACGGTCTCCATAACAGAGACAAACTGTCGTTAGTCAGTTCTTCCAACTGGATCGGTTAGTAGTTGAAGGTGGAAAATCGGTACGTACTCACCAGAGATCTTTGTATAGAAGATATGTCGCTGATTTCCGATTTAGGGAAAGCAATCCGGGGAGAGAAATGACATAATGAGACAAAAAGACACTGGGTAAGAAGTGCTCCTAGTCCGGGGTCTAACCTACAACTCACATTACATAGATTGGACTGATGTATCCCGGGTGGTTGTTGAATGTGGACTTAAGGAAATGCTATGAAGTCAAGATGTTTGGGCCTGGTTAAATGTATCACTATACATGGAGTTCACTTGCACTTTGGTGTCTGTCCGGCGAGACATTCTTACACCAAGCAATTCAGAAAACTCGCCCCTCAGCCAACAAGGTGGCATAACAAGGCGCTTAAGCCGGTACATAACTTATACAATAGTTCCATACATGCACGCTGGTGTCCTGGACGTTTCCGGATTATGGGAGACAGTTTAAAGCAGAAAGGGTACCTCTCTTGGTCTATGAACGTCAACTTGACGGCCATTTTAGACGGCTTACTAAAATGGCTATCAAAGAGTATGTTGCATGGCAAGACTCCCTTGCGCGCTAACTTCCAATTTGAGCTCGAGTGGAAATATTAAACAGTATCATCAACTATAGATAAACCAAAGTTGTGTGCCTTTCAATGATTCTTTTTCTTACCTAGCAAGAGACGTTCAAAATTACCTATGAAGTAGTGTTGTGATTTACGATCACGTGATGCCATGAATGTCTCTCGATTTGCTTTGGGCGTCACTTCTCTCATTGAAATTCCTCCGCGCCTTTAACTCATCCATTAATATAATAGGTGTTTGATGATCGCAAGTAGGTATGTAGTCTTGGGTGAAGCAATTCAACTTTCAATCAATTCATTATCGTGATTGCGCGCTCAATTGCTAATATGAATTTTATTTACTAGAAAGTCGGCGTGTAGCTCAGTGTACCCATATCGAACGCGCAGCCCCAGCGTCGCAAAATCCGTACCAACAGCCTCTCTGAATGCGATCACAACGGCACGAAGTCTTACATGATTAAAGCGGACTAGAGTACGAGGCAACCAAAATAAACCTCTAGAGATCAATGCGTATCATATAACTCAAGCCTTACGTCCACTAAAGCATCATTATTTGCGTCAAATACCGGGGATCCCAACTCATTGATATCGTCGGTCGAGCTTGACACCTCGTTCCCTCCTTCGAATAATTTTTCTACACAACGCGCCGATATGCCCGCTGTAAGTTTTTACAAATTGGATCCTCATTGGCTGATCGCCATACTCGTCTCATCCTGTGAAGCTCTTACTTTGTCGATTCGCACACGTTCCTGGGGGGGGGGCTTGGTTAAAAAAAATAGAAGCTAACAATTCGTTCGCAGTACCGAACAGGTGGAAGACGGCAGAATCGCACGGGCTATGTCGACCATGATATACTCGAGGGGATTCCAGTAAGACAATGGCGCCGCGAATTCGTTACAGTTGCACCTCCACCTCCGCAGGAAAGCAATGCCTCTCAGAATGATATTTGGGCAAAAGAGTTGCCTTGGGGAATGCCGAAAGACTCCCACTTATTACCGCAACATAGTCAAGATTTGCTACGCGCCGCACGATCTGGAAAGATATATAAGCGACCTACTCCTATGGATGAAGAAGAACAAGATCTTGAAGCCATTCCAGGAGACAAGCCGGACAAAAAAGAGGAGGAGACTAGAGATAGCGGTTTTACAGCCCGTGCCTGGAAGCAGATTCCTGGTCACCAAAACGCATCGGATATGGACTTTCTGGCCAAAAGAAGGAAGGGGTTAGGTTCTACAATTCCTAAACCAGCTCCAGTTCCCACGGTTGTACAAACCACAGTTCGCAGGACAGATGCTGCAGGAAATGAGTACCTGGAGAAAGTCATTGTGCCCCATGGTCAAACTGTTGTAGGGGATGTTGTTTCTCAAACAACCATTCCTGATCCAAATGCGATCGAGGGTACGCCATTCCGACGCAAGGGACCAGTTGGTAAGAAAGGGAAACGAGGTCCCGGACGGGGACGAAAGAAGATATTGCCTACTTCTACCCCCAATGTGACTAGCGAACCCTTGAGTCAGAATGGCGATGCGGCAAATCCTCACATAGGAGCTGATGTAAGTCAATAATGATTTTTTGAAAAATCTGTAGCGGATTTTTTTAACATCAGCACAGGGAATCAAAATCGAAGGTGAAGGTGGTGCGACTCCAGCGAAGAACCTCGATACCGAGATGGTAGATGACTCAAATCCGGCTTCGGATGACGATGACGGGGATGAAGGTGACCAAGGTGATGATGATGATGATTCCGTTGGTGTCCTTAATTCTCCATCGAGACCACATAGAGACTCTTCCCAAGACCATAATATTTCGACTATGCAAGAAATTCCAAAATCGAGTAACGTTGATATCATGATGGGTGGCACTGATATTCCCGGATCTACGAAATTGGAACTAGAAAGAGTAAAGGATGAAGGGAAATTCGGTAGTCCCTTGAAGCAAATAGCATTGACTACATCCACAGTCAACACTCCTACGGTGTCCCCTACTGAAACTACTACGCGGGAGCCCATATCATTTTCGACCGAGCATACTGATATTCCATTAGCTCCCGTTGAAAAAATCAACCAGGAAATGCTATCAATAGCGGAAGTCACCGCCCCAACCGAGCTGCCCCCTGTTCCGCCTCATCCCACCAAAGAGCATGAGGAGGTATCCGTAGAAGTCCGTGTTGAAGAGGAGGAGGAGGAAGAGATACTGCTTGATATTCTCGAAAATACAGAAAATTCACAGATCGGTGCAGCAAAACCAATAGAGGCCGAGATACCAAGTTCTGATTTGGCTGTTCAGTCTTCAATCCAGTCTCCTGTCAAAAAGTCACCTATAGCTGAAGAGAAACCCCCTCATAATTTTGCAGAGCCTTCTCCAACACCTGTCGTTGAAGAACCACCTACGATACCTAGTCAAACCACGGCTCCAATCGAAGAAATAGAGCAGCCAATAGCAACAATTTCATCCACTTCTCCAGTCAGAGAAATAGAGCAGCCATCAGTAACAACTTCCTCCGCTTCTCCAGTCAAAGAAGAGGCTCAGCCAGTTCCCTCACCTTCACAACCCCTTGTAGCGCCAGAAGCTACCGGCGTTGCTGAGGTCGTCGTCGAACCAACTGACATTTCCCCGCCAACTGAGGGAACTAAACAAGCTGAACCAATTGAACAAAACGAGCCAGTTGAGCCCAATGTATCGACTGAGCTAAAAGAGTCAGAGTCAGTCGAGCCGGAGGTGGTACATGAGTCGAATGACATAGACATGATAGACGAGTCAAATAAGCCAGAGGTGGGACATGAATCAAATGATATAGAAATGACAAACGAGTCAATTGAATCAAATGAGCCACAACGGGTAGAGGAGCAAAAAATACCGGCAGAGCCAGTCAAGGCCACAAACGAAGAAGAAGATGATGATGACTTTCCGGATTTGTTAGGTGGTCTAGAGAGGAATCTTTATGGTAGCTCGCAGCCGCCTACCACCTCTCTAACATCAGCAGTACCATCAGCATCAATCACATCAGAGCCTATAGAGCCCACAGAACCTACAGAGCCTGCAAAGCCCACAGAGCATATAAAAGGGAATATCTCATTACCCAAGGAGGTAGAGAGTGATATCAAAACAGAAGAGAAGGAGAAGGATGTAGAGGTCAAAGAAGAAATCTCAACATCTTAAAAGGGCTATATTTATGCACACGCGCATTATGGATATGTTTATTGTTCACGTACCTGCTTCGGCTACAATACACCCGGATAATTGAGTTAAACTACATTGTGTTTCCTAGTATTTTGGAGAGTGTACATTAGTGTCGCAGTCGCAGGTGCAGGTGCAGGTACTTTGTTTTTCAGAGCCTCGGCTTTGGGGATTGATTCACAATATGGTTTTGTGGACTTGGACTTGGGGATTGTATATATAGATCGGGTACAATTTTATCTCTTCATACTTTTTTTCATGTGAAATTGAGAGGTGTGTTGATGTGAATTTATTGCTTTTGCTTTTGTTTTTGATGATCGGATTAATTGAATATATCGAATTTTACAGTTTGTCATTTTTTTCAGGGTATGTACATGTAGATGATGTTGGTAGGAGAGGTAGAAGATAGAGTAGGAGATGAAAATAGATTAATGATTTCAGAGATGGGTTTTCTTCTTAAAGGAAGAGAAATTTAATATGAATATATAATTGGAATGTTATTGAATATAATACGAGATTATTGATTATAAAATACCTAGGATAATTATTACATTTTTGATTTGAATTTGAATTTGAATTTATAGGATTACTTGTAGTTGTATATGTAGTTGTATATATATCTCCTTTTACTTAATACTTAAGCCTTAAGCCTTGATTGATTTGATATTACTATTAATAAGAGAATGAATAGTACCTACCTAGTAAGTATAATATGATACGATATAAAACGATATCTTCCTCTCGTACTAATAGCTCTTTTACTTGAATGGCTTTAGATACCTATGTATATATATTCGCTTATTATCTCTTCTCGTTTATTTTTATTAGTTAAAATCAGTAGTTAATAATAGTTAGCTATTAATTAATAATTGCTAATTCATTAATAATCTTATTGAAAATAGCATGTAACCTATAATAGTATTATAGTATAGTTAAGTAATATAAGATTAAATCAGAGGATTAAGATTAATCTCTTCTTCTCATCTCTTCTCTTTTCGATAATTTAATAATACATACATATATACATGTATACACGCAGTCCTAAACCCTGAATCTCAAATCTCAAATCTCAAATCTCAATCTGTAAGCTACTCACTCCCTCACTTTACGAAATAAATCACAGTCTCACAGTCTCACAGTCTCAGTCTCAGTCTCAGTCTCAGTCTCACAATCTCAATCTTACAACCTCACAATCCCACAATCCCACACAGATCGAAAAGAAAAGGAGAGTAGAGTAAAGCAGAGCGAAAAAACTACTCTAAACCTACTATTATCTATATAAAAATAAAAATAAATCATCTACTCAACTATTTATACCCATCTTATCATCCTAGAAGCTCTTTCTTTATTCCTATCGAACTAATACCTCTCTATCTATCTATCTATCTATATTTTATCTTTTAATATAATATAAATATGTATATATTAATACCTTTTCATATACTCTTTTGTATATCTTTTTGTTATAATTATAATTATATTATATATTATATCTTTTCCTTCCTATATAAGTCGACCACCCTACTTTCGGGCCACCTCTGTTTTGGGCCACCCTTTTACACCAAAAATCGCTTTTTAGCCTATTGATATCTCTATCAATATATAATCTAATTTAATAAAAATTTGAATATATATAACTTAAGTTATTTTAAGCTTACCTTGAAAATTTCAGATTTTTAGGAATTTTCTATATTAAGATCTAGAGTTTTAAAATATCGATTTTTAAATTTGTATAAGAATCACATATAAATTTGAAACTTTTGTAAAACCTTTAATAACTTTTTAATAACAATTATTAAAAGAAAACTATATATCTTTTTAAAAAATTTGAATTTAAATCTATATAGAAATTAAAAAAAAATTAAAAAAAATTAATAGATATAAAGATATAGTATATAATAAGTTTAGAATAGTATAAATAATCCCTGTGTTACGACGGTATTCAACATACTGCGTTATATGGCCAAACAGTCATGTAATGAACCTAGAGGATCTAGGGGATTGAAGAATAAATATCTAAATCTATAAGATCTAAAGGATTCAAGCAGAACAGAGCCTTATGGTTTTGTAAAGAATAAAGATCTATATAAAGAATAAGATTTCTTTATATATAAAGCTTCATATTTAAAAACAATTATTAGTTTTATTATTATAATTACAAGAATTGTAATTAATTATAATCTTATTGAATTCCTATTTGAAGTTTAATCTAAACCATTTCGAGAGAACTCTAGACACTTCCACATGACCCTAGAGGCAGCTCCCGTAACACCCTGTAATTTTGAGGATATTCTTTTAAATATCTATTTATAGGAAATTTTCTTTTTTTTTCTGAATCTTTCAAAATAAATATGTTATAAATTTTTAATAAAGTTTTATAGTTTATTTTTAGTAATTTTTAATAAAAAGTTATTAAAGATTTTATAAAAGTTTTAAATTTGTATGTGATTCTTATACAAATTTAAAAATCGATATTTTAAAACTCTAGATCTCAATACAGAAAATTCCTAAAAATCTGAAATTTTCAAGGTAAGCTAAAAATGATCTAAATTATATATATATAAATTTTCAATAAATTCTATTCATAAATAAGAAAGTTAAAAATTCCATTTTTGGTATAAAAAGTGGCCCAAAAGGAGGGTGGCCCGAAAGTAGAGTACCCGACTTATAGTTCTAAAGAAATAGTATATTTATATTATACTTTATTTATATTTCACACTTTACACTTTACACTTTACACTTTACACTTTACACTTTATATTTCACACTTTACATTTACACTTACACTCACCTTTTACCCTTCACACTTTACACTTCACACCTACATTCCAACTCCAACTCCAACTCCACTAAAACATCCATATTCATATTCATATCCCCATTCCAAATCTACATTAATCACAAAAACATAACACCACAGAAACTAATCTCAAAATGCCAAATTCTCATATCACTACCTACTAGGTATCTATCTAAACTATTTCTTTTGAGAGAAGAAGAAAACGACGAAGAAGAAAAGAAACCCCCTAAAAGCACAGAAACAAAACCATCCACCCAGAATTCATAGGTATCAATCATCAATTTCATTCTTAATCTTTTCTCTCTTCTCTTCTCTCATCTCTCTCATTCCTTCACTCTGTCAAATCATCAATCTTTCTTTCATTTTCTTCCCCCAACCCTCAAACATCTCAAATATCTTCCCACTGTCCCCTTTCAAATCACCATACGAATCTCCATCAATCCATCATTCCCTCTTAAAACCCCCTCAAAATCATCTCCCCTTTCCTTTCCCTTTCCCTCCCCACCCAAACAAAACCCAAAAACCCAGCTGCAAAAAAAGAAACACCTCATAAACTGCGGTTCACAACCACCACATCATCACAAAATGCAATGAAAAGTAGTAGCTGAAAACCCATGCGTAAAAGAGAAATCAGAAAAATAATGTAAGAAATCGAAATGTAAAAAAGGGGGGTATGCATCCATTCCATTCCATTCCAACCATTGCATGCCAATCCGACAACAGAGTAAAGTACTCGAACATCAAAGAAAAATAAAATGAACCCCGATTCGTGAAAACTTGTTGTAGAAGGTGTAAGGAAATAAAGCCATGTCTGAAACATGCGACACAATGATTGATTGTGTTCGAAGCCGAAAATCGAAACTTGTAAAGTGGTGGAAGAAAGATCAAATATTCCGTTTTGTTGTGACCTTTCTGGCCGGAGATTGTAAGTTGGTACTGCTTCCCATACTCTGCAAACACAAAGCGATTGTGAAGTTATTGTATCAAAATATCTTCACCACCAAAGGTAAGACATATGTCTCAACAACCCCTCCAGAAAATCATCGTCTAGCCAGACCCTCCCTTTCCTTAAGGCGACTAGTTCTCCATCCCTCATACCACAGGTCCCTACTCGCCTCCCTCAATTCACCTCTCCATTCTGCAAAAACTGCTTCCTTCAAACGTACAAAATCACAATGTTCGACATTCATCGGATCCGCAAAACCCCATGGGAATTTACGACCAATGACATCGGGTTCATACAAATCGGGGCTGATGATTGAGAGAGGTAAATAAGGGATCTCGCTGATTTCCGATTCGCGTTTATGCCGACGAATGGAACCCGAGGAAAGACGCTTGGAATTGGGAGAACCACCTGAAGAAGCTGAACCATGCTCCGAAGTAGCATATTCATCTCTTTCATCGAGGCGGCTTTGACTGTGGCCGATAATTGGGCTTTCGGGTTCATCATCTAGTCCGAGTGCTTCAAGTGGGTCGAGATTAGCCCTACGCAGACTATCCCAAACCGTCTTCTTCAAATACGTCATGTGGGCCGTTGTAATCGTGTCGGCTTTTGAGATGACCGGAATAACAGTAGTTTTTCCTTGCAATGTACGAAGGACTTGTAAATCAAGATCTTCATCAAGACTACCAAACAAACGAGGGCCTGTACCAAATACTCCAAAATGTCCATTTCCATTCGTGGTCACATTCTTTGCATCTTCAATATTTTGGTCCAGGCGTGTGGGGTCGAGAATGAGGAATACAGCATGGATGTGTGTATCTTGAACACCTGGAGCTCTCATCACCTTCATCTCTTCCGTGAAAGTTTCTTCAAATTTACTTTCGAGAAATGAAGACATATCTCGAAGTTGAAGATCCACGACATTTTTATCCAAGCCTTCCGAATCCCACAAGGTTACACCGATACGTTCACCTTCGATTTCCGATTCGAGGTAATGCGAGACGAATTTTCCAGACTTGGGGGTACGCGAAGCAAATATATCTTCGGCCAATGGTTCGGGCTTCGATCTCTTCTTGGGAGGGATAGCGAGGGAGGTTTTGAGGAAATTAAGGAAAGAAGTTTTGCCTGCACCGCGTGCGCCAATGATGAGAATACTGCAGAGCCATTAATAAACGTCGAAAAAGAAGGTGATGTCAAAACTTACTTAAATGGAGTAGGATCTTTGCGTCTTCGCACTCTGCGAGGACTATTAATTGTGCTCACGGCACTGCTTGCATAGCTGTATCTTCCCCGATGTGTCATGCTCTCTGATCTAGCATAAGGATCAACCCAACCACCATTCCTCGCACCCGAAGGAGCTGGAGGAGCTGGCACACTGAGTGTGCTACTCATTGTGTAAGATCGAGCTTGAGGATCCATCGAGGCACTTCTCGCACCTTGAGCACTATTTCCAGACGTTGCCGAACCCGGTCTCTCTTCACCACCAAACGAGGGAAAATGTGTCGGGACAGCAAGGTCGGGAAGACGAGGTGGAGATCGGGGGATCGCAGCTGCTTCGCGAAGGAGTCTTTCACGCTCTTGCTCTTGCAACTGAGCAAGATCCTTCTTATGCTTGGAGTTTAAATTTCCGGACTTGGATCGACGAAGTAATAAACCACCAAGACTGGTACGACGAGGGGGATTGGCGTTATTATTATGCTTTCCGTTCTCTGGAATTCCTGCTAATCTCTCGGCGCCATGTGATGGTGACGTTGCCGGAGTTCGTGGACGGATTGAAGAAACCATCGTGTAGGTTCGATTTATTGGGAACAAGAGTGTTTGTCGCAGAATTGACAGGGAAGGCCTGATTTGATCAATTCGTATTGTATGGTGAATTGACTTTTTAATTGAATTGAAATTGGAAGAAAAGGGTGAATGAATGGATATTTCCTTTGGAATTAAATTTCCCTGTAGGCCTTGCTAATCATTAATAAAATGGGTTATGGAGAAATACAAGGTTTGGAGGAAGACGGGTGAGGAGTTGAGGAAGACGACGGAAGAGAGTGAGTGCAGTTGTCGGGCTGCCAAATAAAATATATAGAAAATGAAGGGTTCGGCAGGGAGATTGATGAATTGAGATTGCGAATTACTTTTTGAACGAATGAATTATGATGGTGAATTATTTCGCTACTCTCTTTCTCGCGCTGTGTCTCTTTCTTTCTTTCTTTCTCTCTTTCTCTCTCTCTCTCTCTCTCTCTCGCGCGCGCGCTGTCTCTTTTGGTTGTGAATGAATGAAATGGGATCAAATTGTTTTGTTTCTCGAGTAGACCAGAGGTTCTTCTTAAACTTATAACTTATAAGATGAACTACGACAGCTTGAATCCCTTTTGTATTTTCTTCTCAAATGGGGATTTAAAGCAAACGACCGTATTGCATGAATTTTGATTATATGGAGAGATGAAGAAAAGTCATACGGCTTGAATCGATTGATTTGCAAATAAAAGAGAAAAGAATCGATATCAACATACCCGTCCGGCAACGATACCAAATGGATCCAAATGTGGTCCAGTTTTGATTTGGGAGATCCTTGATAAGGCTGTAACGGTCCCAAGTTTTCCATGTAATGCTAGTCGCTAGCTTGGGATTTGGCGGTTTAGTTTCTCTTTGCCTTCTGTCCTGTGAGCTGAAATGAATGAAGGGGTAGGCAGTGCTCGACTGGTAGATGCTCGAGTCAAGAACTAACGTATGAGAATGATGTTTGGATCCCCAATTAGGAGAAAATGAATATGGAGCTTGATGCGTAGGATATTGAAGAAGGATGGGAGATGGCGATGCAATTAGATGAACTGCGTTGACGCAATTCTTGTAGACAAGTGACGAACGGGTATTTGATTTAAATTGATAGAAGTATTATTATTGGGTAGCTAGGTAGGTTGGTAGTAGTCGATGACAAAGTAGTATCATAATAGTATTGTTGAAGATATTCCGACCAAAGATACATACAATTCGAGTAGATAGATACCAAAGTACGATGAAAAGGAGACAATCGAGTAACATACATACATTATTAGTGAGTTAGTTATCACCTGTTATTATCAAGTATCACCATTGAGTAGCACTGTACTCATTCCCTCCTCCCTCTCATTCAATCCAATCCGATCCAATTGATGATGTAGAAGCGAAGGAATCTCCAGCAAGTATCTTTTAGTACATAATCCAAGTATCCAAGTCTCCATTCCCAATATTCCAATCCAAGTATCTGTATCTATCATTCAATTGTTCATCCCATTCTATGATCTAACAATCAATCACTCACCCACTCACTCACTCACTCACCCATCCATATATCATCTTCCCTTCCCTTCCCTTCCCTTCCCTTCCCACCCACAATTCCACAGCGTTCATTTCTCAGAATCCCCTCTATCCTCCGACCCATCACCAAACCCGTCCGTCCAGACCTAGTCCCGTACCACAACACACAATCGGTACACAACATCACCATCCATCCAACCATCTCTCCATTCACCATTCACCATTCACCACCCATTCTCTCTCCTCGCGGTAACAAATTTCAGGGGCTCCAAACCCAATGGTAAGTAGACAAGTAAAAGCTACAAACAAACTAATCACAAGTACCTCACAATACAATGATACCGATACCAACAATACACACCAAAGTCCCTCCATCGATCTACACACTAAAAGAGATAATCTCCCCCCCAACCAGGAATATCCCGAAGTTTCTGATCGGAAAGTTCTCAGAACCCTTACGTGAATAGCGTGGATTGGACAAGGACCACCAGGGACTACGATGTGTGGTGATGCAAGACAGGGGTCCAGTCTGGTTAGATCAGGAACAAGAAACATGGATTGCATGGTGATGTTTTTGATTTTCCGACTGTGAGATGTTTCATCTTGAATGTTCGGTACGTACGATGGATTACCAGTCTCTTTCTTCTTCTTCTCCTTCTTCAAGGTAAGATTACTTCTCGCAAGAGTGGTGACTTTTGTTACTTTACTTGTGTCAACACTCACCACGCAATTCGTATACATATATATTATACCTACCTACCTACCTACCCACCTACTACATCTCAAGTACAGACCTAGTAATCTCAATCAATCAATCAATCCGTAACATCTCCCATATAATTAATTTACAGATCCATAAGATATTCTCTTAATGCTTATGCTCATGCTCACGCTCATGCTCATGCTTGCTTAATGACCTATGAATAGCTACTCTATACCTACCTACAAATCCCGACTACAACACAACATTATAACTATATTATAACCCCCTCTCTCCCATCCATTTACCATCTTCAACATAATTCTCTCATCCAATATCTATCTATCTCTCTTTCCAGAATCCTCCATTCTGGAATTTTTGAAATTTCTTTTATTTCTTTATCCTCTTCATTCTCACACCCTCACCCAATCCATCGATCCAGCACCTCACAAACCCTCAAACCCACCTCCCACCTCCCATCCACCAGAAAACCCCAAACCCAATCACTCACCACAGTCCACATCACATTACCTTCAATCATCAACCCACCACTCCAATCATCAACCATCAACCTATCAATCCACCCCCTCAAATCCAAATCCAAACCCGCACTCAAATCCACCCAAATCCAAATCCTCCCAATCCACCCAAACTCAAATCAAACCCAGACTCGATATTATAACTTACAACTATTACACAACATATCCGTACCTACATACCTACATAATAACATCTTCCTCATTCCCTCTAACCCTCACTTCCTCCCAAAAACCCTATCAATACCTACCTATCTATATTATTATATTAAATTCTTTATTCATTTTATTTATTTTATTCTACTGTACTCTACTCTATTTTACTCTATTTTACTTTATTCTACTTTATAATATATATATATATATATAATATATATATATACATCACATACATATTACATACACTACACACCATACACCACTCACTACATCTAACTAATCTCTCTTAAAAGAAGAAGCCAGCCACTACCTATCATTAATTCGTAAATACCTACCCAGTAATTTCTTTATACACATCATATATGCCGCTAATGACGCGCTTTGCTCCGAGTCCCCTATTATGTTATCTATCACTTGGTACTTACTCCGACTTACATACCTACCTGCTGGTATCACTATGTGCTCATTGAAAATGAAAATTATTCATTCACGTGAGAGTAGACAATTTAGAATCAAAAATACATTTCCATTATACACATTCAAACCCACATTTATATTTAGATTGTTTTAATTGTTAAATATCTGAAAGGTCCATTAAATTTTTCTCTTCTAGCTAAAATATTCATATATCATTGTCTGTGTCTGGAGAACATATAGCCATCTCACCCACGATAATGTGCGACGTCCTTTCAATCCCCCCCTCAACCTTACGTTCTGCACTCCCTAGTCATATTAACTGCTGTGCACCAGAGTTCCATTTCATTTCATCACCATTTTTGACCAATCTCCTATAGCCCAACGACCAGCTAGCCATACGCGGCCCAAAGTTTCCTGCCCAAATTCGCTTGAATGCAAAAGACTAAACTCCTAAAGCAGAGGCCAAAATGTAAGGCTTGCTACACAAAATTGTTGTTAAACAATCGTCGAAAATGAATCTCCAAGTTCGGAGCCATTCTATAAACAAAAGAACAAGGCGGCGATACTGGTTCGCCCAAAATGACTGTGCATCTCATAAATGTATGCTTTAGAAATTGGAAAGAACCAAAACGCCTTGGGTCGTACGACTCTATATCAACAAAGGGTGGAAAAAAAGTGGCATTATTTACGAACCGATTTGGTGAGGTCATAAGGTAAGTGAAACTGTAAAATGAGATGTAAGGGTAATGGCCAAAAGATTTTGAGAATAAATGTTGCCGAATTTAAAGAGCGCTGGCACCTGGATAGGCGGAATTTGGTATCATACCACCACGCATGACACGAGGCGGTCCTCGACCACCACGACCTGTAGGCAAGGCAAAGTCTGGATTGTCATTCAAGAGAACATCTTCTCGTCGAGCAGTGGGTCTCCTATTCGGCATTGGAGGTCCCGCGTAGCCACTAGCGCCTCCATTCCATCTGGGATTGATCCCTCGTTGTGACACTGACGTGAAAGTAGATCTCTCAGATTCAGCTGGAGAGCGTTGCCCCGACTGAAGCTCCTCTAAAGAGTTATAAGAGTTATTGCCATCTAAATTGCTTAACGAGTTTGGATGAAGATGAGAGCCAGGATCATAGTTGTTATGCGAGGAGTGTACAGCAGCAACATTGAGGGCGGCAGGAATTGTCAGAGATGACTTTGCAGCTGGAGCTGGAGCTGGATCGGCAAAACGTGGGTCAACGTCTTCGTAATAAGTATCATTCGAGTTACCTCGTTTGTGAGTAGACTCGCTAGGAGGAAGTTCGACGATAGGTTGCGAGGTAGGGTTCAGAGGTGATGATCTACCTGCTTGCTGTCCCCATACTTGTCTTGGTGGTACGTATCTGATTACATTAGAAATTTGGCGATTCAATCATAGTAGAACACTTACTCATCTTGGCTATACTGACTCGTCTCACTGATCAAAGTCTCATGCCTTTGCTGTATTTTTTGTTGTTGTAACCCCACCATTCCAGCGATGTCATCATCACTGTCTCTAAGATTGCCGAATTGCCCGACAAATCCCGGAGGTGGATGTGACGGACTTCCTGTTGTCGCATCCTAATGCCAAATTAGTATCATCAATGTTTCAAGGTAAGTCGCTACTAACCATTTCGATCGCCTGTCCAACCATGCCAGCATTTTCCAGATTGTCCAAAGGCGGGGGTGATTCGGCACGAGGTAAGCTACTGGGTCTTACTTCCTCTGGTCTGTATGGAATGTATCCACCGGGAGGCGCCGGAGAAGCATCCCTGAATCCACCAATAGGCGCCGAAGGATCAGAAGGTCCTCGGCTGTCATAGCCGGGTGGAGGAGCTCTTCCACCGTTACCCATCGCCATCATCCCGTTGTTCATCCCTCCTCTGTACGGGCCTGGGTAACCGCCCCCTCTTGGACCATAGCCACCTCTCGGACCATAACCCCCTCTTGGCTGACCATAGCCATACCCTCCACGGTTTGGGCCTGGTGGAGGGCCCCCATAACCTCCTCTATATCCACCCCTTGGTGGTCCATAACCACCTCTTCCTGGCGGTCCTGGTGGCATTCCACCTCGCCCTCTCGAATTCATGGAAATGTTAGAATACTGGTGGCTCAATGCCTGTCCGGGTGGCCCGGCAGATTGATCACGGTTTCGCATACCGTATGCGTTTCCTACTTGCGGCATCATCGGCATCATCGGAATTGGGTTTCCGTATTGATCTATAGATGGGGTGCCTGATTGTGGTCCATTGTAACCGTCCACTCCCTGGCTCCTAATAGATCCACCAGGGACATTACTAGGAAAGGTTTCAGTTGTTGGCGTTCTTATAGTCAAAGGTATTCGTTCATCACTAGTTCGTTCATTGTTATTCGCATCAAATGTGGCAAATGTGGGTAATTTCTCGATGACCGGATTTTTCGAAAGGCTGGCGTCAGTGACGACCGGACTGGTTGTTTCCGTTCCTTGACGGTTGTAGAAATTCTCCCCGTTCATCTCTGCGTTCTCCTCAATACGACGCTTCCTTGCTTTTCGACTAACCAACGTTCGGCGCATAGCGCATGACACAACACCACTTACGGCAATAATGACTGTGGCGGCGAGCACAACATATGAACCCCATGCCATATGAGGTACGAAAAGTAGAACATCGATGAGGAATGCGAGTAGGGTGAGAATCAATGTTAAGATGCTCAGTATGAATATTCCCAATAGGTATCGAGGGGAATGTGAAGGTGCATGGAAGTGAGCGGCGATGGCTAGGATTAGCATGATAAGCGTGAATAACGCAGCTACGGGGTGGACAATGAGAATAGCAGATAATGTTGATCTGGTACTTGTAGAAAGATCGAAGGTAGCTGATTGAGTTGCATCGTAAAGACTTTCTAAACAATTATTTAATATCAGTGCTGTGCTTGATATGCCGAAGTACGCATTGCGCAGAAGCATGTGTAGAAAGAGTATGCATTCGAGAATTGAAACTTACCAGTACTGTACCCAATTTCAATCTCGCTACAAGTGCTTCCTTTACAAAAACCAAAGACTCCAAATTGAACTCCATCGAAAGAGGCCAATGGTATCGACTTAATTATAGGAGTTGAGAGAATTGATACGAGCAAGCATGCGAATGCAGCGAGCAGCAAAAGCGATAACGGAGTCGCCGGTCTTAACATTTTGTTGTCCTGTCCTGTGCTATGCTGATGCGTCAAAAATTGGAAATGCCAGCGTCTTTAAGACGCGGCAAATATCGAGGTTCTTTCGATCAAAGGGTGTCCCGGTGATGTTGTCGCGGAATGTACCTCAAGTCTCTAGTTCTCAATTTGTTGATTGCAATTATTATTGTTGTCCTTAATTCCCCACTCCTGACCAGACATCGATAAATGGAATGTGATTTCGGTGAATTAAGTCATAAATTGGACGAGAAAGACTGGATCAATGGACGTTGTTGTTGTTGCTGTTGTCGTTTCCTCCTGACGATGGCCTTTTCCGGGAGACTAGAAACAGGCGGGGACCAGGGGAAGAGACGGACAGGAGCCAAAGTACATGTGTTTTTGTAGATTGTGATTAGAATTGACTTTGGCTTTTGGGAAAAGCAAGGTTAAAGAGCGTTGATAGCCCACGCCTTCCAAGAACGGTTCCTCGTACTATGTCGTTGTAGGTTTAAAGCGTAGGTTAAAGGCAAACAGTGCAGTAGAACCTTGAAGGGATATCGTGTGGAGTGGGATTCAATTGGTCTCGACTTCAGCCAAGATTGAATTCTTCCGAGATTTCGCAGGCTGTGTAAGATAAAAATCGTAATCTTGGATAAGAGTCGGAGTATGGTAGGGACAGGTGTGTAGGAAATGGTGTGTGTGTGTGTGTTTACAAAATCCTCGAATGATTGTTTGCACAAGAAAGGATGATAGTCTTCCAATCTGTCATGTCAGTCGTTTCAATATGGTGGTAATTTTCCTGTCTCAATCTTATGGGCGTTTCAGATTATCATTATCCGTCCCTTGAGGCTTGAGGCTTAATAAGGCTTGAGGGGGGGAAGGGTTTGCGCCGTTCAAAAGTGTCTCGTCTTAAACTACAGTACTGTACAGTCTGCACAGGATTCTGTACTCCGTCGAGTAATGACTTCTAGGTTACGAGAGATGGATGATTTTTCGTGCAGCACTAGGTATTCTCGTGATGAATCGTGAATTGCTCAGCCCCGCTGATTAAAGTTGATCTTGATTATGTACCAGGTATGTATGGATGGATGGATGGATGGATGGAATGGGACTTTATTTTAAAGAAGGAGAACAAAAACACGACACGACATTTTCTGTTTCTCGGAAATTTATCAAAGCAGTATTATTGAGATTGATTATGCAGACAACATGAATATGTATGTATGGTAGGTATGGTCGGTATGGTCGGTACTAGATAGATAGATAATATGGAGAATACGACACTAGAGGGAGGGGGAGGGGGAGGGGAGAAGAGGAGAGGAGAGGAGAGCAGAGGAGAGAAGAGGACATTAATACTAGGAAATGGTGATATCCAAAGTGTACCTAATTCATTCATTCGAGTACCTATTAAATACCTAGGTACTTATCAACCGTTATCATAAACTTATATTAACTTGCTTGACAATAACAATCTACGCTTTGGTGAGTCTGGAGTCTGGAGCATAAGAAACAGAACGAGAATTGAATACTACCTTGAACATTTGAACTTGAACTCCCTGACTGACGGTTTCTGGTACACGGTTTCGGACGCGCTGTCTATTCTTCACTGCCATCACCTGTAACAACCTAATCACAGTGGACATTTGTTTCCAAAGATATTAGGATCTTCAAACACTTCATGCGACATCTAAAGTTATAGATCATAAGATGGAGCTATTGCTTCTATACTATGGATATGCAAATCATATAAGTTTATATTTAGTTCTGCTTTATATTTGCTTTTTGGGGGATGTGAAGTCGATCAATCACATATCGAGAATACTAACTATTATAATCTTGATTAGTGAGTGCGCATGGAAGTATTCGTCGATACCTACCTACCTAGTATATTATATTTATATATATATATATATATATAACTATACTAGATATGAGCAATGTTGTCCTAGAGATACTATCTAGTACTCTGCAAGTCGAAAAGAGGAATAATAAGCATCCACCTAAAGTACCTACTAATAAGTAAGTACCTAATAATCTCGAATTAATGCATCTTTGAACCTAAAGTGTGACGGCATCCAATTCGGTGGAGGCATGCATTTGCTCGGATAGTGCTCAAGTATGGTGAGGAAACACATAATTAAATGAATGCCAACAATCACAATCTATGAAAAGTCCTTGGCCACTTCAAACATGGTCCTTGTAGAATTTCCCCTTCTGCATAAAATACCGAGACGATCATACAGAGTACAGAGTACAGTATGGATGTGCTCCATTGCCGGTGGACTTTTCCTCGCTCTGATGGCTCGTTTGATGAGTGATGGTTGACATACAAACGGGTCGTGCAAATCCGAATATAATACGAGTCGAGATAATGAATGATATGAGAAGGATTTGGTAGAACATAGGTACCCAGTCAGCTAGTATTGACGTTTCTTCCTTCCTTTGTCCTTTGTCCTTCGTATTTTATATCGATTTCTCAGCAGGAAGCTAGCACTAACTTCCATTCTTCAACCATTAATTATGGGAAACAACTCCATCTCCATCTTCGTTGCCAATAATGTTAAGAAATCCAAGGAGAATCGGTGGAACATCCATACTTTGATATATTGGTCGGATCTGTCATCTCAACCGAGCCGCTTGGTAAATCCGGGAAACGGGATGGGCGGGATTAACACAAACTGATTGATTCCTTATCAACGATAACGGTGGGAACTAGCTGATAGTTTTCCGTATATTATCGTCATCAAATATCGAAGTTTTTACTTCCTCCATGCATTCTATTTACGCCGGCTTCTCAACGTAGCCATGTACCTGCGAAACGCGGGCAGGAGGTCGGGGCTTATTGTACCATCATGTAACAGGTTATTATTCAATACATTATCTTCTACACACCGAATATCTCATCAGGCACGTCAACAATCAAGTCAATTGTTAATTCGACCAAAGAAGGAAACGATTGGAAATCATGTATATACCAAGGTTCCCCAACGTTTAGCCCATGCGCAAAGATATCAACCTTTTGTCCCCCCTTCGCCAGCATCTTTGGGAAAAGCTGCTCCTCCAAAGCTATATCCTCGATCCATAAAATGGGGACGAAGATTACTATATGTCTCGGCGGCAACAGGCATAGCCTATCTCATAGACACCCAATTGTACGCATCCTCTATTACCAGATCATTGCGAACATTCGGCCTGGGTATATTGGTGGCGATCGATTATAAGCTCAATTTTAGACCAAATCCGATTCTGGGGGGTGACATCACGGACTTGCATAGGAGAAATGCTGAGAGGATGTTCAATCTTCTACACCAAAATGGAGGATTGTACCTGAAAATCGGACAAGCAATTGCTATGCAAAGTGCGGTCTTGCCTCCAGAATTCCAGAAAATGTTTGCGAGAATGTTCGATGATGCTCCGCAGAATGAGTGGCGCGATGTAGAGAGGGTTATCAGGGAAGACTTTGGAGGTAAAAGTCCAGAGGAAGTGTTCGGTGTTAGTTATACAAATAAGCCTGGGAGTGGAATTATCGAAACAAAAGCCAGAGCTTCAGCATCTGTTGCGCAAGTTCACTGGGCGAGGTTGGCTGATGGGAGAGAAGTGGCAATCAAGGTTCAGAAGCGAGAGATTGCTAGCCAAGTGGGTTGGGATCTGTGGGCTTTCAAGTGAGCTTCCTCCATTTAAAAAGAATTCTAACATCTTAGATCTTGCTAACAATATGTCCAGAGTAGTGATGAAAGTTTACACATATTGGTTCGACCTTCCATTATACAGTCTAGTGCCTTATATTACTGAGCGCTTGATGCTGGAAACGGACTTTGTAAATGAAGCGAATAATTCGGAACAGATGGCCGGACTAGTAGCAGGCGAACCACGATTGAACGGCCGTGTTTATATTCCCAAGGTATATCGTGATCTTTCCTCGAAACGAGTCATGACGACAGAATGGATTGAGGGCGTACGTCTCTGGGATAAAGAAGCTTTGACAGCTCCTTGGTTGGGCGGATATGGCAAAGGTTCTCCCGGAGCAAAAGGCACCCCACTGTCAAACCCTTCGCCAAACATCCTCTCAAGTAGCAATCCTAAACCTGATCGTAGTACGGAATGGAGAGGTCGTAATGGCAAAGGTGGTCTAGGCCTCAGTTTGAAACAAGTCATGACTACCATGGTCGATCTCTTTTCCGCACAAATGTTCCTCTGGGGAGTTGTACATTGCGATCCTCATCCAGGGAACATTTTTATCCGAAGACAGCCCAACGGTCAGCCAGAACTTGTCTTAATCGATCATGGTCTATACGTTTCCATGACTCCAACTTTTCGTCACCAATACTGTCAATTCTGGAAAGCTATCATGACCTTCGACAATACCTCGCTTAATGAAATCACTTCTGCATGGGGTGTCAAGGCCCCCGATCTTTTCGCATCGGCAACTCTCATGCGTCCATATGACGGTGGCGACAACAGTACCAAAGATCGCATCACCAAGGATCTCAAAGGCAAAACAGCCGCGGAGCGTCACTACGAAGTCCAAGAAAGACTCCGTCAAGGCATCCGAGACGTCCTCTCCGAAGAAGAAAATTTCCCCCGTGAACTCCTCTTTATCGGTCGCAATATGCGCATTGTGCAAGGCAATAATCAATTTCTCGGCTCCCCTGTTAACCGCATCAAAATGACGGGTTCATGGGCATCGCGCAGTCTGGTCGATAGCAAGGATTTGAGCTGGAGAGAGAGATGGGTTAACGGGTGGAAACATCTCTTGTTCAGATTTGTATTGTTGAGCACTGATATGGCTTTCTGGGGAAGTAAAATTAGACAATTGCTTGGATGGGGCGGAGGCATGGAGGATGATATTGAGAGACAGATGAGATTTTTGGCCAAAGATCAATTCGGAGTGGAATTGCAACATGGTGTGTTTGATGGATAGAGTTACGTATGTGCTGCGGCGGGGGAGGGGGAGTGGGAGCGGGTGTAACATTACCGTGCAATTAGTTATTAGTTAGTCGTGTATTATAGATGAAAAGTCCATTTGTTTCTTAGCGGGTTATTATATCATGGATAGAGTAGACTAGATATCCACTCCATAGTGCTAGATAGAAATAGCTGTATAATCAATCACAAGTTGAAGTTACCACTCATAAGATTTTTATCATAAAATATTTGCAAACCCCCGCCCCCCAAATAGAATAGTCTACTCGAGTAGAAGGAATATCAAAGCACGTAAGTAACAAGTTCCTCTGATGAAACAGGGAGAGGGTAGGTGGATCTTTATTTGAGGTGTGGAGGTGAGGATATGAAAAGGCGAGGGGGGAAAGTAATTAGATACTTGTTTTCTGATAGGCTATGATTAGGGAACAATCTGAGATGGTGGATTGGGATTGAGATTGGGATTGGGAGGATGCTACGAGAAGGATGGGTGATGTTGGGGGAGGGGGTATGAGAAATGGTAGGATGTGATATTATATGGCTAGGTGTGTTTTGGAGACGGTGTAGGAGAAAGTTAGGGGTTTCGAGGGGTTTTGATGTTGGGGGAGGGGAGGAGGGAGTGTGTAAAAGAGGGAGGCAGAAGAAATCTGGTCAAATCAACTTTCAGACAACGCTTGCAACTCACGCCAGAATTGTATCTGGATTTTCAGGAGCGTTTAACAAATCCACAAATCATACGTGATAACACTAGCCAGGTCTACAGGATCTCTCATAACTGAATTCGAATCCAAGTATAGTTGTCTTGAAAATTGAAAGACAACAAAGTGAAAGAAAAAATCAAGTGGAATATGAACAAAATCATATCTTTGAAGAGAGGCTTCTGATTTCAATAATGAAGACAAAGAGGGGTATCAACATACAAGAATCATCATCTCTCATTCAATATATGAACAATTGAAGTCGAATTCACCCCAGAAATCAACTTTAGCCAAGCCATCGGAACAACCTCGGGCCGAAATCTGAAAGTTTGATTTTGTTTCCCACCTTGATTTGTAGAGTTCCAGGCTGGATACAACAACTAATAATTTGATGGAAGAACCTTTTCTGTAAAGAAAGGAATCGACCTCAAATGGAGAAGTGTTTATAGCATTATTTGCTGTTTTTGTTGCATGTGTTCGTACTTGCAACTTATTCTTTGCAGGTAGGTATGATTGACAGCATTTCAGAGCTTTAAGCTTTTTAATGGGCGCACGATCGATCAGAATAACTCAGATTAGCGTGCCATTGCCTTACAGTGGTCTGGGTTTGACTCACCAAAGTCTCCAGTCTCTCTCAACAACTCGACGCGATACAGAAATCCTCATTCGAAGATCCTTTGATTGGTGTACACCTCGCTGTTCGAACATACAACAAGAATAACTCGAAGAAAATGTGGATATGGAGATTATGACATACTCACTAAGTCGCAAACTTCACACAGAATCTTCTTACGAAGAGGAGGGCGAATATCAGGCTGCTTCTGCCGCAAGCGGGTAATATCGAGGACGACACACTTACACGGATTGGCTGGCGTTGGCATCAATACGTTGATGCTGTTTCCGTTATTGATATGCTTAAGTTCGACGGGACCCCCCCCCCCCACCTGATATGAGATGAGGTCAGCCGCGGAAATTTCAGGTTTTGGTAGAAGTACATCAAGAACCTGTACTAAGAGATACTACTACTTCAGGATCCAGCAGCACTGCCACTATTTGTCGAAGATGAAATTACTAACATGGACTCAAGTTTTGTTGAGAGCAGGCAACGTTCGCGAGGTCTAACGATGGCATGATATCAAGTGATATGAGGTTTGGAAAATAGTATGCTGCGATTGGGATGCTGAACTGACAGCATCCGCAGTGTTTTCTGAACCAGAAATGTTCAGAGTTCCTCAGTACTGTGGGAACAGCACTGTGAAGGTTATGAAACTCATCGAAGTGTCATCATGTGTTGATATTTTGGAGGGGCACAGTAGATACTGGGACCTATGGAGTACGGATATGGATAGTTCTGCCAAGTGCTATCCTAACAGTACTAGGTACATGGTATTGGTTCACCCAATCTGAACATCACCGAGAAACGAAGAGATTAAACGATTATTGAAGGGGAGTTTATATTATTGCTGACGTACAAAGAAGAAGTATTCTCTTCGCTTGGAACGACGATTCTCCTTCCATATCTACGTATTTCCCATTACATTGTTTCCTTGGTCGATTCTCTCTTGTGATTTGCCTGGAAAATGCACCGCAATGCGGTTTATCTTCTCTCCCACAACCTCATTCTATTGCCTGCTCGCGATTGAAACTCCTCCGCCTAGAGAACGTTAGTTATAGATGGTACTATGTATGCATGGTTCTCTGGACTGACAGCTTCTCTTGCAAGCGTTGCCCTGACAGCAGCAAATATGCTTGTCAATTCTGCTTTCAATGCGACCTCTTCCTCTTCCTCCTTGTTTTTCTCGGCATCATCGTCATCGTCACCGTCCTAGTAAAATCATCAGCAAAGTTGCTATATCTCTCCTCATTCATAAACCTCAATTTATGAAGCGAGTGTACACACGGCATTTTGTTGTGAGGCTTGAAGTTCTCTGTTGTGAGCCTTAGCGCGCTCATTATGGATGCGGATCAACTCGATCATTGCCGATCGGCAACGGCTCGCAGCCATTTGAAGGGCCATAACAGAAGTGTATTTATGAGTGTTGGGAAGCGGAATGTATCTAGATGCATCGACGTTCTTCCATGTCTGCGTTCCGCGGTGGTTTTGAATGTTCACATGTACTATTAAAGATTTTAGTTAGTCTAGCAGTATTCCAAAGAAGATGAGCAAGAAAGAATGCATATCATGTCATGTCTTGTCTTGTATGAATATAAGTATCATGTGTGAGGAATATATGGCTTACGGCTGTGTTTACTGTCATATACAGCAACCTCGTCCTGTCTCAGCATCAAGTCAGAAGCTCGCGGCCATTGCAAACTTCCGTGTTTGGGAATTGGAATTATAGTGGCGAAATTCATGATGGTTGAACCTACATTCACGTTAGGACGAAGATCGATATAAATCTGCGATCAATATGCATATATCCCCGTAAATTGAGGTGTAGAGAGATTCCAATATTTCCTCGAGAAGACAAGGTGTTGATACTGCACAGGGAGTAGATATGGTTTGCTTACTTGTGATTGTTATTTTGATTTTTGTTGTTGTGGAGATACCACAATAAGTTCTTGTTGTGATGGATTGATGGGGCACAGAAAAAAGTATTGTGAAAGTGCAGAATGAAAAACAAGGATAAAGAGGGGAAGAAAATCAACTACTCAGCCTCAAGTATTCACTATCACAACCCCAATCTGGTTTGAAATTTGTAAGGATTTGAACATCTTTTTTTGAAATTTCTATTTTGTATAGCTATCAAAGGGACAAGTGAATTGAGCATATTGATTGAGAAAGAGAACTATCTATGGGTACTCGAATTTACTCTGAGTAATGGAATCATTATTCTGATGACATTGCGAAGCTGCCGCTTTGCTAATCTAATCTACTATCACTTCCCTCTATCCTAATACTATTGCACATATACACTTTCATTGTAGTTGATTCATAAGAAATGACTCTGAAATATACCACACGTTCTCAGGATCTCAATTGCTCAAGCGAAAGGCAGCATGTTCAGGCTCACTTCCTCTCGTCCTTCCTTCTTAATCAAAGCTGAATGAACAGAAAATTCTTTTTTTCTTTGGAAAGAAAGGGGACAATGGAAGAATGGAACATCTTTAGAATTCAGTAGTTTCTCATTGCCTTTGTAGACGGGATTTCCTGCAGTAAAATACACGTTCCTATGTGAAAATGCATGCAATTATACACAAGTCGTTCACTACTTGTTGTACCAATATTTCTTATACCTGCCTAGCATTTCAAGCTCCTATGTCATGTCTACCGGAAGATGCCAAGCTGCGAAATGTATGTGCTAGTCGATTGCCGCCGACGAAGATCTCTGGGCCGGGACAATTTGCGCTCTTCTATTTTGGTGGACTCGAGGTCCTTGGTGGTGTAATTGTATAGATCATGATCAAGGTGACTCGCCTGCCATATTCGACTCGGTCGAGGAGCGCAAACTTCTTTTCTTCGGGTCCGTGAATGATCCAGATGGCAGGCAAGTTTGGAACCACAGGTGGGTGTAGAGGGTCTGAGTATTCTTGTCTACAGCGACAGCATAGGTGTTTTCTTTATATATATATTAGCACAATATCTCTCCTACAGAAATCATTCTGTGCATAGAGGGGGGGAGCTTCTTGGGCCCGTAACTAAGTATGCCAAGGGAGCTGGCGTGAGAGCCAAAGTGTATAGGATGTCCAAGGCAAATAGGATTCGTCCGCGTTGTAGATTCCCATCATGCTGTGTAAAACACGAACAGATGGTTTCGACAACGGAAGGCCCAAAACTCGTGAGTCTGTAAAAATGGCTTCGATGAACTGACTCTGGTGTTGTGCAGCGGGGCATTGTAGGTGAGATTACACACTGTGCGCCGCGAGCGAGGACCTTCCAAACAAGGACCAAACTTTATACAATAGAATCCGTCCTTCTCGTGTCTCGGGTCTGATATGCGAGTCTCTAAAGCTTTTCGAATGTATCGAAGGTTTTGGAAGAATATGCGCGATGTTTCAGTCGAAGTATAAAAGTACCTGCGGGTGAGCCGAAAAGTCGACCCTGCAGAGCATGAATGGCCAGCACATCTTTCATTTGTAGGTGGTGGTTTCGCAGGGCTTGTCTTAATGTCTGAAAGGCACAGAAAGCGTCAGCCAATATCCATTTGTATCGATGGGGTTTTGTTCACATCAACCCATTTGACCTACCTTCGTTCGGGACCCACAAGCATGAATGTCGCACAACAAGAGGCAGCTATGCAGATGTGTTGTATGTAGTATGGATAATATTCAGATAGTATCTGAACTCGATTCTCATTACTGCTGATACTGGTGGCAAGGCGAGAAATTATTTATGTTGATGCACTTCTATTTTTCAATCTTTTGGTCAAAGAAGAAGGTGCGAGCTTCACCTCCGAATATGTATATCACGAACGCAGGCAATATTACGTGGATTATCAAGTTACGATCATTAAAAACTACAGTAGAGATGCAGAGAATGGCATCTTATCAATCTTAAGGTCATAGTAAATTATATCTATTGGTAATTGCTAGTTCTAGTCAAATTTAACCTTTCCCCCTTATATTGTTGTTTTTGGCAGGAAAGATTTCTCCAGAATCTCGTCGCCCAACAGAGCTCGAATTCGTCAATTTAGCCAATCATAATTTCAAAAAAGGCGGAACACTAGCTTTGATTTCTTCGTTTCTCCAATCTCAATTGTCTATAAAGTCTTCCACTTGCTCCTGCCAATTCTGTTATTCTTCCTACTCTTCTACAACCATCTTCGAAATATCCTCCATCAATTCTGATCGACCTCTTCGATCTTGATTGATTCTTTACTCTTCTTTTACCTTCTCCATCACTTTGATTGAAGTATCCGATACCTTCAATCAAATACCGAGTCTTCTCGATTTTTGATTGTAAGTCAAGTCCTCTTGTTTTGGTTTGTCCTTCATCCTTCTGTTTACTTTACGCTTCCATCAAAAAACTCTGCTTCATTTCATCTCTCATCTGCTTTGATATATCTCGAAGTCTCTCTAACCTTTCATAACAGCATCGAAGATTACGTTTCTCCACTCTTCCATTCTCTTTGCGAGGTTGCCCTTGGGTTCCAGTTTGTCGCATTCACTTAATCAATCAAGTAAGTTCTTCGATCTCTCTATCAGTTTGTGCATATGAATTTGGCTTTTACATGGCATTCACTTCACCTTGTTACTTCCCCGCTACTATCGTTCGCATTGAGTTGCGCGACCATATACTCATACCTACTACCCCTCTTCCATTTTGCTTTATCAAGTCGCATTTGGTATGAGACAATATTATTTATTGCGCTCAACTCTGCCGACTTACTCTTCTTCCTTCATCTTTACCTCGTTTACTCTTACAGTTCTTCAATTATTCTTATGGTCTCGGTGCATCTTCGTCGATACACGGTTAACTGATCTCACAGATTTCACGCGATCATTCACTTTCTTGATTTTCCAAGGTGCGTCAAAGAGACTTAGATCTACATACTTTCCTACTTTATACTACATGGAGTCAACTAACGCTCTCTTTAATTACAGATCACTTCAAGTCAACATGTCTGCCTGGGAAACTGGAGATATGGCTGCTGCCTTGCCCTACACAACAGAAACACCTGATGTTGTTGCGGTAGAGCGCAAGAATCCTCAAGAAGCTGGCTGGGTTGCTGCCAAGAAGTATGACTACGAAACTTACAACAAGTCCACCAAAGAACAAGCTGAAGCCCGTGCTGCCGTTGCAGATGGTGCCGAGGGCGATGCTGAACCAGCAGCTGATGCAGCTGAAGATGCAGAGCCAGATACACTTGCCGTTGGCGGTCTTCGTCCTGGAGAATGGGCCTCAAGTGGTGCTATCTATGAGTGGAACGAAGAATATGGTGATGTTGGTCCTAGATTCCCCGATCTAGAGGATCAATTGTTTGGCAAGAGCAACAACCATGTTCGCCAGGGTCTCAACTTTGAAAGGTATTCATCTACATTCTCAACTGCATGATTTCATGCTAAAATTGCTTTCTAGCATTACCACCCTCACGGTCACCCAAGAGGGAACTGTCAAGATTGATCCCATCCGCAGATTTGAGGATGCAGGTCTTCACCCAGTCATGTTGGAAAACATCAAATGTAAGTTCCCCTCGGAATACTTCTTTTGATAGGCAATAATGACTCTCTAATCTTGTAGTGGCCGGCTATCATGTTCCAACCCCGATCCAACAGTACTGCCTCCCGGCAGTCAAGAAAGATCATGATGTAGTTGCTTGCGCCCAAACTGGTGAGTAGTTATCACTATCCAAAAATTTGAGCTATTCACTGACTTACTATGCTCACAGGTTCCGGCAAGACTGCGGCTTTCTTGATTCCAATCTTGTCGAAGTTGATGGGTAAGGCCAAGAAGCTTGCTGCCCCTCGTCCAAACCCAGCCACCTATGTGCCAGATCGTGACAACTTTGTCAGAGCTGAGCCATTGGTCGTCGTTGTCTGTCCCAGTCGTGAGCTGGCAACTCAGATCTTTGATGAGGCCCGTCGTTTCTGCTATCGTAGTATGCTTCGGCCTTGCGTCGTTTATGGTGGTGGTCCTCTTGTCGAGCAACTTGGTCAACTTGCCAAGGGCTGTGACCTTCTGATCGGTACCCCTGGTCGTATTTGCGATTTGATCCGCCGTCCTCATGCTCTCACTCTCAAGCGCCTTAAGTACGTGGTTATTGATGAGGCAGATGAGATGTTAAACTCCAGCTGGGAGGAGGAATTGAAGCAAATTATGAGCGGTGGTGGTAAGTACTTTGATTCCGGTTTCACTTGAACATTACTAATTGTACATTAGACCAGGAAGAGGGCAACATCAATTATATGATGTTCTCTGCCACTTTCCCAAAGACTGCTCGTGGCATTGCCAAAGAACATCTGGCTCACGATCATGTTCGCATTCGTGTTGGTCGTGCTGGTAGTTCTCACACTAACATCAAGCAAGACATCATTTATGTCGAGCCTGCCGTCAAGCGTTATGCTCTTCACGATTTGCTTCTATCAACCCCACCTACTCGTACCATGGTCTTTGTCAACACCAAGCGTGCTGCTGACGAAATCGATGATTTCTTGTTCAACAGCGGCCTTCCTTGCACATCCATTCACAGCGATCGTACTCAACGTGAGCGTGAAGACTCTATTCGTGCTTTCCGCAATGGAAAGATGCCTATCTTGATCGCTACTGGCGTTTCTGCCCGTGGGTATGTTTGACACACTATTCCTCCCTTTCCAGACAATGATGTGAATGCCCTTCAAGTTCATCCGCTAACATAGACTCCAGTCTCGACGTTCACAATGTGATGCATGTCATCAACTTTGATTTACCATCCAATGATTATGGCGGCATTGAAGAGTATACTCATCGAATTGGTAAGCACATTCTACTTCAAATCGATTTTGCAGCTGGCTGACCGTTGATTGATCAGGTCGTACCGGTCGCATTGGTAATATGGGTCTTGCAAGCTCGTTTTATAATGATCGGAATGAGGATATTGCTGAAGCTTTGGTTAAGACATTGTTAGAAACTCGTCAACCTATTCCTGACTTCCTTGAGGCTTATCTTCCTGAAGGTTTTACCATGGATGGCCAAACCGGTGATCTCGCAACTCTCCATTTTGATGATGATTCAGATGATGAAGAGGAAGGTGGCGAGAATGCTGAGGGTGCAGGTGGTGCTGAAGGTGGCGGTGCCTGGGGAACAGACGATGCTGCTACTGGTGGTGGTTGGGGTGCCGCTGAAACCGCTGAAGCTGCTCCAGCTGATGATGCTTGGGGAGCTCCAGCTTCCGGCGATAACGCATGGAGTTAAATAATTTTCACAAGTCGTGATAGGTTTTGATTCCGATATTTATCCTACACGTTTATGTTATTGACATTTTAGATGTCTCTAGCAATCTGCTCCTATCTGTCCTCTATTTGACAACATATATGGGCAGGGACTGCCTTGCTTTGCACAAGGGCTCTCTGCCTGTTATGTTAGATTTGTATGCCTATACTTGGGCCGGAGTTGCCTTTGGGGGTGGGAATGGCCTTGCATTGGAACAAGGATTTCCTGCCTGGTATGGATGCATAAAACATGGGGTTTCGTTTTTCAATTTTTAAGCAAATCATAAAATAGGACAGTTAATAAAATGATATTTTGTTCTACATGAATTTGACTTCTTACTTGTGCTTACAAGCTGTAGCGTTACTACCTCCCACTACTAGATTAAACTTTGTTGAGTCCTTAAACGTAGCTTGTGATCATGAGTCAGGGTATGAGACTGATCGAGAGAGTAGTGCTGACAGAAATGCATTCTTTCCAGGAGAAGACCTCCAGTCAAGAATTCATGTATAGGCCTTGCACCGCACTTCAAGTTATCAACAATCCGTTCCAGATTTGGCTTAATCATTCCTTTGGGTCTATCAATATCTCAGTATTGCTGTAGTATATGAGGCTTCTGCTAAAATTCTTCCTTGTTCATGCCACAGGATACTCCTCGATAGCGAAAACTTACACTCAACCCATGGATGGAAACCTCTCTTCTGCACATCTCATACATACGATCCCGAACGTACTCAGCGTTGCCACTACCGCGAGGGAATGTTTGATGTCGGAGCTTGGATGTGTTAGGTGGTGAGGTATTTGGTTGTGTATGGGGATGCGAAGTGTGGGGGTACGAGAAAGGGACGGACGGTGGGAATTCTGAGTTTTGTGGTTGCGGTGGTGGTGGGGGTAGGAGTGGTACGGTGGGAGTTAAGAGGGAAGGAGAGGACAGGAGGGGAGAGCGGGTGGTTTTGGATGAAGGTGGGGGTGGGGGGAGACGAGTGGTGGGGTGGTAGATTGAGTTGTGCGGTTTTGAGATGTCGGTTCTGAGTAATACAGATTACATGTTGGAAGTAGAGAAAAGGAAAGAAATATGGGATAGAATTGTAAATATATTGCCACAGTTATTGTCATCTGCTCAAGAATTTGCACATTTCCTATTTCAGTACCTTCGACTAGTATCTCTATGTATGCGAATCAATTTCGCATTTCGAGAAATTTTCAAGTCACCACTTTCCAGAATTTCCAATGACCAACCCAAAAAATTTCACAACTCCAAGTACTTATCTTGCACTTCAGCTCTCGACGTCATCACTCTCATCTGCATTTTACATACAGGTACCCTGTGATAACCCAATGCAATACCACTTTGATCCCCAAGCTGGTATTCGAATACGTACACAGTTGTTGGTTTATGTTATACGTGGATATCGTCATGTTAGGCTGATATTGGTATGTTGTGGTACTTATATCCTCGATCACCTCCGAGACAGAAAGTCTTGAATGAAAGGTTTCTCTTCTACTTTTTCTTATATTTGGTTTGTCAGCCACACGGTAGATTATTGTCTATCCATCTCTCCACCATCCTACAAAATACTCTTGTAATCTACCATTTCTATATCATCAAACCAAGGCATCAAGCAGCCCTGAAGAGAACCATCCGGATCCTAAAGCAGGATATGTGAGATGTGATAAACCTCGACTCCATATTGATATGCTCGATGAAAGGGCGGGAGTATGCCCGGATGCGTGTTTGAAGAATATCCTGTAAGTTATATTTGTACTTTTCAACTCCCTGGCCCCTTGAAAGATGTCCACTTTCTATGAACCTCTCATTCCCATTATCTATATCTCCTTACAGCTTTGGTTACTTCCCTTCTTGTCCTAAAAAGACAATCACTCACAGGGCTATCGCAAAATAACCTATGTACAATTAGCAAATGCGGTAAATGGAGCTGCTAAATAGCTTACCGAGGAACTAGGGCCAATAAAAGATTTTCAGACATTGTGTTACATGGGATGGAATGATCTTCGATATGTAGTTTTTATTTTGGGGGCTGTGAAGGCGGGGTATAAGGTAGGTTTCGGCTATTTGTATAGAATTGGAGAAGGTTGGAGAGGTCCAGAGTGAGGAAATATACGGGAAAGAAGGAGACAAAAAAATGAGGTTTATTGTAGTCGAAACCTGAAAGCTGATAGATCAAATATAGCTTCTCCTCACATCGCCCCTCCTCACCACCTCAGCAATGACCCATCTCTTCACTACCATGTTTTGCAAAGTGCCTTTAACCACCTCCCCTCAACCTCCCCTCAACCTCCAACTGTAGCTCCTGTTGTGAAACTTCACGATTATCTCCGTGTTCTCACAATCCCTTCTATCGAGGAGCTGCTCAATACCACTTACGTACATTTTCCCTATGAGAAATCATTTGAAGAGGCTAAAGGGGAACCATTAGTTGCACTTCATACATCTGGGACTACTAGGCTTCTAAAACCGGTAATCTTTACTCGTGATTATGCGGCTGCTTATGTACGGACGTTGCAATCAGAGCCGCCCGAGGGATTTGAGTCTTTGGATAGAAAGAGTGAAGGCGAGAGGGTGTTTTTGCTTACTGCCCCTTTCCATGTGCGTTTCTTCCTTTCTTTCGAGCTCCATTCATACCTTTCAACTAGCAACTTATTGACTACTTCACAATATTCTAGACTTCAGCCATCTGTGTCATGATTGCAGCAATAGCAAATCAGACAACCTGTATTTTTCCACCCCCAGCCGCCATTACCACTGCGGCTCTGCAGTGGAAGCACTCAACACACACAAATGATGTCGTGGGGATTCTTGGTGGACCCCCACTAGTAGCCGATTGTGCTAAAAACCCAGAGCTTCTCGATTTCTTCGCAAGCCACGCCGGATTGATGTGTTATGGGGGCGGAGATGTCGCACTAGCATTGGGAGATATTGTTTCTACCAAGCTAGATCTCTATACATCCCACGGATCCACGGAATCTGTAAGCTACCCTTTGATTCGAAAAATCGGGGACCGGGACCCGAAAGATTGGAGGTACTGTCACCCGCACCCAGCTGCTGAATTACAGTTTTGACTTCATCATGAAGGAGAAAATCTGTACGAAGCGTATATTGTGCGGAACTCTAAGCCAGAGACTGAGCAACCGGTTTTCAAACTGTTTCCTACACTCCAGTAATCTAGAACAAAGGAGCTGTATTCTCCTCATCCCAGTAAACCAGATCTCTGGATTTATAAAATGAGATCAGGTGATATGATTCCTCTTTCCGATTGCCAAATCGCAAACCCATCAATCATGGAGCATGCGGTCCTTGATTGTACAGGTATTAAAGAAGCCGTAGTGCTCCCTGTACAAAAAATTGGCCTGGAGAATTATATTACGTGTATTACTCTCGTTATCGAACCTACCTCTGAGGAATTGTCTAATGAGCAGAAGGATTACTGGATTAAAGAACTTTGGTCGATTGTTGAAAAGACAAATTCGTACTACAGAACGAATTCCTTTGCTGAAAAGAGGCGCATCTTATTTGTGGATCCACGAAAACCATTGGCTAGGACGGCGTAGGGGACTATTAGTAAGAAGAGGGTTTTAGAGGATTATAAGGAGGAGATTGATAAACTTACGGTAGCTATAGGGTTTCTGTCAGGCTTGGATTCTGCTTTCTTTTCATGGTGGATGTTGTGTTCAGCAACCGCTCGATGTCCCAAATTTTGAGCGTTTTTCTGAACCTCTCACTTCAGGGCAACTTTTCACCTAGAGAAATAATAATCATTGAAGATTCTTTCAGAACATACTAAACGTGAGAGCCCATAAGCATGCGTAGGTATGATTGAGATTGAGGAAAGTAAGTTCTATCAATAGGACACATAGTCTTATTTCTGAGAGTGATTTGGGAATATAGATGATGAGACTTATAGTGGATCTATAAGTAGCACTTATTTAGATGCAATTCAAATGCACTAGGTGAGTGGAGAATGACTGACGAGTGAAATAAAAGTGACGGCCACGGGAATACACCCAACCAGCTGATGTCATCGAATTTGAATTATTACCAGCGTTGTGAAATGAGAGATGAACAGGTCAAGAAAGATACACAACAAGATATCTAACACTGAAAGCAATCAGAAGTGCAATGAGTGATTAGACCAATTCATTCTGGCTGACTTCCACGTAGAGTAAATAAATGTCACAAGTCTGGGTCAGACGACAATACTCTCGCTCCCTTGCATGCAATTCCATACAATCTAGTTTGTTTGAATTCACACCTCTGATATATGTACTGTCCGGAGATGGTTCAAAATATAGATGTGCAACATAACATGAGATTATCACCGAAAGCTTCTTCGGCCATGGTTTGCGTACTGCGCGGAGATTGTTCACAATACAGATATGCAACAAATCCAGATAGAGCTCCAAACTTACATCTCTTCAGCTCTTGTGTGTGAAATGCGCGTAAATCTTCCTGAATTCAGACGTGCAACAATATCAATGGGGCGTTTATGATTGATCAGCTCGTGCTCAAAATCTTGCCACGTCTCACCCTAAATAATCAAAAATACGTAGTGTCATGGAATCTCCGGACCTCTCTTTTCTCCTCTGAAACTTCAGACAGCTCGGAGAAGGGTCAGAATTTAGACGTGCAACAAGAATATTTTAAACACACACACGAATACAGGCACTTGCCATGCTCGTGAATTTCCCCTGTTGAGATTTCCGAGGAAATGTGTCTTGGCCGAATCTAGTCTAGGTCTTACCGAGCGGACCTATAAGAATCCGATATTTAGCAGAATTCTGATCCACTAATTCCGCAAATGCCGTGAGGGCGTGAAGCGAGAAGAGGCGAGGGGAAAGCGACCAAAAGTGTAGAGTAATGAGATTAGGTGCTATGTATACGGCACGTACGGTGCGAACGCATGTAGTGGATGAATCCTCAGCGTATCAAGTAACCTAGATAGGTAAATAAACGCATCGTTTCATTTCTGAGGCGTGAGAGAATGTGTTCCTTGATGATGCAGACCCGTAAAGTAGAAAAATGAAACTTAGCTTGCATCGTTGGAAGGATAGGGGAAAGTTGGGTATTGAATTTGAAAATAGATCAAACCACCGTTCATCAAGAAGCAAGTAGGGCAGAATTAAAAAGAGTGTGACTGTAATTTTCAACATTCATCATTGGGTCTCTTTGGCTGGTAGGAACTGATATAGCTTCAGTCAAAGGGATTGTACTTTCAGCTCCAATAACATCCAGAGAATCCTGGGTACAATGGGGGGCACTTGGAAGCAATTCTTTGAAGAGGAACCAATTTGACAAAAACTCAATGAACAGTATGAGGGTTATTACTGTGATTGAGACTTTGAAAGACAGATACTCATGTACAAGACAGTTTTCATGAATGACTCGTGCTGCTTCCATGAAGTATTTTGAGATGATAGGGTGGGTAAGGTACGGTCAGGATGTATAATTTATGTTATGGTTCTCATTATAATGTTTTGATGATGATGAGATCGGGCATTGATTTTGTATCTATCAATACACTAGCGCCAAAATTCATGTGATCAGATACCAAGAGCCTTGCAAGAAGCTTGGACCCACTGAATTGAACTTGTCGCGTCTCCATCTGATCAACCTCAATTCTAGATCAACAAAGTGAACTTTGGGGCTACATTCATTTTTTTGTCAAGTCCAGCTATTAATGATAAGTCACTACCACTATTTATCACACCAATAATCCGACGGGAATCACCACCACATATTACCCGAACTAGCCAACAACCATCCGCAAAAATGCCACCTTTCAAGGATGAGCATATTCTCATTATTGCGCCTGGCTCACAAACAACTCTTGCTCAACTAGGTCTTCCTGAATCCTTCACTCCACCACAACGAAGATTTCCCACTCGCATGTTTCTAGCCCCTGATGGAAAAACTTATGAGCCATACAAGATTCGACCAAAAAAGAAAGATGCCTCAGCTACAACAAACGGCGATACCGAGATGGGTGGAATCAAAGAAGATAAGACAGATGAGGAAGAAGAATTAGAAGAAGTTCCTGAGGATGATGAAGGTGCTATTTGGCCATTAAAAGGTTTGTCTATATGTTCCTTGCATGCTTCAAATATACTGATACAATGTAGAGGGTCGAATCGAGAATCTTCCAGCCTTTTGCGCTTTTCTACATCACGTTCACAATCAATTATCGCCAACCCTTCACACGCCTGTTATGTTGATCGCACAACCTGCTTGGACAGCCAAGAATCATGAAGACCTCACTCAGTTTATCTTCGAAAAATTCAGAACTCCTGCGCTTTGTATCATGGACAGCGCATTGGCAACTTCATATGCATTTGGAATCGCAAACTCAACAGTCATTGATGTAGGATTTGAAAAGGTTGACATTACTGCTGTTACGGACTTCCAAATATCTGGCAGAGGGAACATACCACAGTCGGGTGGAGAGGCAATGACACTACGCTTGCAAGAGTTACTCAAGTCGAAGGACTTTACCAGGGATATGGCAGAACAATTGAAGAAAAGTACGATTTGCGAAATTTTACCCATGGGGACTCCTTTACCGGGTGGTGAGGAGAACGTAGAAGTCGTAAGCAACCCTGCCGCTGCAGCTTCCACAGGCGCACCGTCGTCTGGGCCGAACGTCAAGGTTGCAGAAGCACCTCGCGGACCAGGACTAAATACCGAGGTGGGAGAAGAAGATACCATCAATGGTGTCGATGTTGCGGAAGAAGATGGTGTTTTGGACGTTGCCAGTATTGTGGCAAGTGGGAAAACTCAAGAATATCTTGCAAAGATCGAAAAGGAGAAAGCTGGAAAAGCTTCGAGGAAGGCTCAGAAGGACAAAGAAGCAGCGGAGGCGGCAGCAGCTAAGCCAGTGAGGTTACCAAATTCGAAGAGACCTCGCGCTACGTTCCACTACGAATCATCACTTCCTGAGCCAGATGCAAAACGCCAAAAGACACCCGAGCCAGTAACCACAGCGAACCATGAGGGTGTACCATCTCCTACCGGCCTAGCCACCGATGCCCCAGTCGAGACCACGTCAGGCAACGACCCGGCTGTCGCGGTAGATGAAACTGTAGCTCGTGAGCAAGCAAAGACAGCACGCAGACAGAAAGCTTGGGAAGATGAGCATCCGGATCGCATGAGAAAAGATATTGACATTGGCTTAGAGAGATTCCAAGCAGCAAGTGAGAGTTATATGGACGCTATCGCCGACACTGTCTACAGGACCATCCTTTCCGTCGACGACATTTCAAAACGACAAGATGCTTGGGATTCTTTGATCATCTGTGGATCAGGATCAAAGGTCAGAGGCTTCAAGGATGCGCTTATTGCAATCCTCAATAGCCGATATCTCATTTCGCCAAGCTCAGCAACCATGTTTATGAGCGAACTCCCTTCCAATCTACCAACACCATCTGGTACAGGTTCCATGACACCTAATGCTTCCTTTTCCTCGACACCACACCCAGTACCCTCAGCCAACGCAGTTAATCCTTTACTCCTTGCAGCAACTACCGCATCTAATCCTGCACTTAACCCTAACATACCTTCATTCAACAGCGGCGCAAATGCTCAGCATTCATCACACTCTCAGTCACCCACCAGTATCAAGCTCGCCACCCCTCCAGGATACTTCCCAGAGTGGAAGACATATGAGGAGGCCGTGTTTTTAGGATCTCAGATAGCTGCCAAGGTCATTTTTGTTGTAGATCAAGGTCTATCCAAGGGGTTCTTATCACGAGTTGATTTCAACGAAGAAGGACCAACTGCTATTCATCAAGTGTAAGTTTCTGTTTTTCTTGAATCATGATATAAGTGCGTTTTACTGATACAGAAATAGTGGACTTGTGTATTAAAAGGATTGCGAAAGAGGAGTATGTGGTAATGCATTTGGGAAAAAAATAAGAGAATGATGATAAATTCACAAACAAAAAGTATACCCGTATTTTCATCAGAGCTCATATATTCATGTTTGTAGTAATAAAATGAATATCCCTTTGTTTCTGTTCACCTTTGATGTACTAGATAAATCGAGGTGAGGTATTTATGAAGGAGTAAGCTCATAAGTATTTCAAGTAAACAGCTGATTTGAGAGACAAGGCCTCCCAAAAAGAAAATCCCAACTTATTCTCTCTCATATGTAGTTATGCCTCCCCGCTCTTTCACCTCCAATGTCCGCTTCTGCCATTTTGCCGCCTCCGACGAGGCTCTAACTCTCTCGTACCGACCCTATTAGTGAAACCTCCGAATTGGCCGTTTTATTGTATTGATAAATTTGGTCAATAATTTGAGTCTTGGGGGGAGAGCGGGTCTCAGAAGAGGGATGGTCAAGTTAGAATAGGGAGGAGCGGAGTATGGTGAGAGACGCTCAACGTTGTCTTTATGAATTATCACTTTTGGAACTGAATTGGTTATCTTTTTGTTCAATTCAACAGAGATTGAATAGAAAGAAAGCCAATTGGAGGCCCTTCCTACTACTTCTTTCCTCTTACCTCCTTCCTTCTTTTGGATTAACAACTGAAACGATTAGTTCAAGTTGGATCAAAGG